TAGAATGAAACGACCATCCAATATTTTCAGGTTTTCCATGGTGGTCTAGCTTCAATTGACTCATGAATTCAACTATTCAACTTTTATAATATCCTTAAAAACCCATTTCTGATATATACATATCCTTAAAATTAATCACCATAATCAATAATCAATTACCCAGGTAACATAGATGTACAATTAAAGTGTTAATAACATGTTACTTAATTTCAATGATCGAATGAGAGAAAAAATGTCTATAAGAGAGAACAAATAAGAAATCAACATGATTTCAGATGTGATGAGAAAATATTGAATGTTGATATTTACATACCTGTTCTTAACATAAATAACAACAAAAATAAAAAAGTTAAACACTCATATAGTTAGAGAGAATTAATTGATTGATAATGAGACATCTAGTAGATTATAATTTATGGACGAGCATTGGGCGACGCTAAGGTGACCCTGAGAATGTCCACCTGTTGACTAGGACTAAATGACGGTTATAAAGTAGTGTGAATAATTGGAATTATGATTAACAGTTGATGGTTAGGGTTAAGAACTAGATCTAGAGTTTTCATCACAATTTGACATCGGCTAAAATGCCAAGACACTATCTAGCCAGATGAATGAATGAAGTTCGTGCCAAAATCAATGATCTGTTATCTTATATCTGATTGGATCGTTCATGAATTATAGTCTCGCCACTGAATGATAATTGAAACTTACAAATGGAAAATGGTTGTATCATCGATTGTAGAACAGTACTGTAGTTGACCTTGTTTAAATTGGTACCCTACTAATGAGTAATACATGAGTCAAGGAACTAATGTTCATAGCTCTACACGGATTTAACAAAGAAGGTGTAATCCAATTAGATTTCTGAAAAATTGATTTTAATCACTACTGATAAAGAGGGAGTGATATTAATTACTAAACTTAAATCTCCAGGTAAGTACAAAACACACCGAGATAACTGTTCACTTGGTTTTTAAAAATAGTAGTACGACAAAGTTAAATAACTAAACTGCCAATAAATTTACTGTTGTTTAGGTGACTAATATTATAAAGTCAGGTATCGAATACAAGTGTCCAAACTTATTAATGGTTCAAATAGTAGGGAGCTCAAGCATTACAATGATATGATGACAAATAGCAGAGAAATGATTTAACGTAGTAAAAATTACACAGTAAGTTAGTAAATTCATTGTAAAACCTGGAAGCAACATACAGGTGCTTCGGTCGAGTATAAAACTGCTTAGCAGAGTAGTTATTTAGTTCAAGGAGTGACACTTGTCTCAATTCCGATACATTTGAATTTTCCATAACCCTATACATATAATTATCATCTGCTCACTAGCTTCAAAATGCAACTCGAGTTCGAGTGAGAAGCCGTGACCAGTGGAGTTAAGACAGTTATCCACTACAATCAGTGGATGAAGAGTGAGCAATATAACGGAATGACTGAAGTTAACAACGTTGGATACTAACTTAGGGGTCTAGAAGGTAAACGTTCGACACGCGGCAACGAAGGTTGAATTCTATTAGTCATAAATTCTTTCTAGAATTCCATGTTAAAGAGTTCCAAATTAAAATGAAACAGCTATTCAGTACATCCCGGTTTACAATACTTATTTAATTAACTCTAATCTGTTAATGTTAACTACAGATAAAGTAAATCATTGTAATTTATTCTGACAATTAACAGATCTTTAGTTTTAGTATTGAGATTCATAAAAGTGTAAAAATTGAAGAACTAAAATGGAACTGTGTTGTGAGCTACTTATATCCACATAAGTAGTATATAACGACAGTCAGGAATAGATTGTATTTCAGTAAAACATCGAGAAAGAAAGAACAGGAACGGAATGATATTGGCATGAAAATACAGGAACAATGAAATCTCAGACGATGGACTGATATTTGCAAAAGAAACAGTCGAGTATGAGACAATGGATTGATATTTTAGAAATGAAGTGTTTACTGTATGGGTCTCAGATTTTAGTGAGATATTCTGTAATTTCGTGTTCAGGTACATTCGGTTGTTCCCATTCGTGTTCACTACAGAGCTAGACGTAAAAAAGTTTTCTTTCATATTTAATTAACTAATATCGTGACTTCATTAATTTTTATACATGAGTTAAGAATTATTGAACTGTAGACAAGCCTTAATAGCAAATGTTCCATCTTCCTAATGGGATTGACTTATTTCTTTTAATGATATAATAATATAACTTGACTTATTACATAATACAGAAAAGAAATTACAAATATTTAGTGAAGTGAGTACATGGGAACAATTTGAGAAAGAACTTAACAAGACAATTTGGTGAATGGTGGTTTGTGGAGATTGTAGTGATTTTAATTGTTGAATTCATGAGCTAATGTAAGCTAGATCGAAGGTCATGGGTTCGAATTCCATATGCGAGATCGTGGATGCGAACTGATGATAAGTCCCATATTAGAACGAAACAATCATCCAGTGCTTCCAGGTTTTCAATGGTGATCTAGTTTATATTGACTCATGAATTCAACTATTAGAATAAATTTTCATTATTGATATCATTTACAGAAATTGTGCATTAGAATTTACAGTGATTTAATGAATCCTATTTGTCTATTCAAGGGATAGAATAAGAGCATATCATAGAATTTTTGGATACTTCATATACTACTAGTAAGTTGCGTATTGAAGATATGCAAAAGTACTGTAGACGTCACACTTCTAGATCCATTGCATAATCACTCTTGTCGCACATGTAGTATCCAGAAGCTCTACAGTATAATTTTAATCCAAATTTTCGATAGACTATTCATGTATTAAACCAGTATAAATTCTGCTTTATAGTATCAGTAAGCGATATCCTATAACATAATTTATTTTTTTAAGCACAAACATTTGTACAAGGAGGCACCAAATAGATATACGCCACATAAATCATCCGATATATGTGAGGGATGGGATACTCTACGGGTGCCCAGACCAAAGCAGGTGGTTTTCTTAGAGGACCATGCCCGGAGCCTTCGACCTAAAGGTCTGATCCACAAGGCAGTGGAGCAGCGTAAGGAGATGCAGTCCCATTATAGCCGGTGACCAACAATAGGTTCATGCGGCATTTGTTCCTTTAACATCCTGGAACACATGTCCATTACTGATTTAAAATCAGGGTTTTCTAACTCTTCTAGGTGGACTCTCTGTGTCCACTGATCCAGCTAAAGCGTCGGACATTCGCTTTCCGTCCTCTCAGTTTCATAAACAACACCTCCGCCGCGATAAGACAGTGAGCAGGACTTCCCTGGAAGTGGTTATATGCACGTGGCCATGTGAGAGCATTTCGAGAGCGACGGCTGACTCTCCCAACTCTCGACCGTACTAGGGCATTTGGAGGCCCTCTTTTGTTAGATTACAGCAACATTCAGAATGACTTGAACTAATATTTATAACTTACTAACCAAAACTCGTGTACGTTCAAGGGAAAAATATTGTTAAATTAGATATCTTGTCGGTTGTTCGATATCTATTTACTAGAACAATATTTAGAAGCTAATTTAATTAATATTTGTCAAACACAACGCTTACTTAACAGGAAATACTCTGTAACGATATTATACTTGTATATATTTACCTTAGGATTTAACAGGTTGTGAACAAGACTAGTTATGTGAAATTTCATATCATAGTCTTTTGAAAACGATTTACGTTCAGCCCTCATTAACAGAGTGTACTCTGGATCCTCTTAAATATGATGAACCTAGGATCTTCAAGTCTTTAAAGAAGTAAGTTACAATTCTAGATCATTGTTTTAACATCCAAAGGTTCATATTTCCAAATATAATCAATATTGAATAGATAGTTTTAAACTTTACAGATCAACAAACTTAACTACAAGTAATAACCACTAACAGAATACATCCATTATACTATAGGAGAAAAAAATTATTTATTTCATTTTTAAAAGATCAAATGAGCATTATTTAAATAAATTATGCACAAATTCAAAATTCAATGTTATAATCAATGAAAAAACAATGAACATCAAAAGAGGAAAACACAATTGAAATTGATCCACATAAACCTGATCTATCTATCTATTTGTGTATGTATAGTATGAAGAAGACATGTAGTCGACAATGTCAAGAACAAACAATGAAATAAATAAACTATAGAAGGAAACATTAATTAAAGTCAAGAAATCCATTTATCTGTCTATATATATATATATGGTGTCGATAAATAGTAGTCAAATTAAGTAGTACATACACAGGCACCAAGAAAAACTATCTATGACATTTTCTTAGCCATAATTTATGAATACAACATATATATATTAATGTAATATTACTAGAATAATGAATTGTTTTAAAACATCTTTCTGTATATAAACCAATGACCACAAAGAGAAGAAGAAGAAGAAGAAGAAGGAACAGAACTGAAAACCATACTCCATTCATTTATAACAATTCACCCATTTACACACAATATCGATAGGGAAGAAAGATTAGAACTTATGAAGAAAACGAACAAAAAGCCACACAAAGAAAAATCTCGTTCTCCTCCTCATTATCATTATTATTATTATTAAAAATACAAACAATGAATGCATTTGAAATCAAATCTCTATATGCCTGTATAAAGTAATAGAAGGAAATAGAGTGGAATGCAGATAGTAAACAGTAAATGTATTAAATTTTAAAGACAAGAAACAAAATAGAACCTGTGAAAAAAACATTGTTAATTACCTTTTTTGTTTTGTTTCATTCTTTTATCGAATGTTGTCAACATTGATAGAAGTCAATATAACAGTCAACACATTTAGTGTATAATATGTAGTTTTGCCAATGTATTTATGTGTGTGTGTGTGTATGTGCGTGTATGTGTACATTCCCAAGGTTTTCCCCCCCCCCATTTTAATAACATATAAACATCATTAGTGTAAAAATTTAGGAAACAGAAATAATCGACTTCACAAATACAGGGATTTTAATAATAATAATAATAATAATAATAATAATAATAATAATAATAATAATAATAATAATAATAATAATAATAATAATACTAATAATAATAATACTCGCTTCATGTAAACAAAAAATTGACAATTATTTTTACCCAAATTAACAAAACTAAAATGTCACGAATGATGATAAAATAAGAAAGAGAAAAAAAAGAGAAAGTGAGCAACGAGGAAAAATCATCGATAAGTATGAGAAGAGACAAATAAGTAAGCAGATAGGTAGATAGATAGATAGGTAGGTGAGTAAACAGTAGTAGTATATATTTCTCTGTTTTATCACGAGGAAACGATGCAGTTTATTTTTTTTTTAAATAAATAAATCAATAAACATTTTAATAATATGGTATATTTGTAAAAAAGAAAAACAAGCGTTTTTCGGGGGGGGGTTGGATTGGAGAGAAATAGTAACATTAGCAAAACAAACATGTTAATAATTTTAATAAGAAGAGAGGTTATCGACTATAACAATAAATGAACTATACTAAATGGTATTCTTCCGTAATTGTAAATGTATTGCACACAGACATAATCATACTTTATGAATAATGAATGATTATGACAAATACATTTAAATTTGAAGGCATCAGAAAACCATACAGACAGCATTAGAATGACTCTTTTTATTTTTATTGCCCTCAAACGTATCATTGAGTTGTAGATGGATGATATGGTGAGAGTATGAATAGAAAATGAGAATAATAACTATGAACAATACTGAAGAAGAAGAAGAAGAAACTGATTAAATAAATGATGAATATGTATTTATCATATAATATCATGTGTTAAATACATACTTCCCATTGTAATACAGCTGTATCTTTGCCCCCAATAGATATTAATCTAGATCCATCATATAAAAATGTTACATTTGTCACATGACTTGAATGACCATTATAAGCACGAAATTCAGCCTGAAATAGAAAATGATAAAAGAGAATTGATGTAATGATAAAGGTGATTAATATGAGCTTGTTTATGGTTATGATTATTATTATTTTTTTAAATTAAACCTCTGCATTCACCTCATCTGAAACTGTATGATTTATTTAGTAGTTAAATAAATGAAGATTTGCAACAAATTCACAACTACTTCAATGTGTGAATAATCAAAGTACCCAAGTATATCGATGGTGGGTAGGTTTAAATATCCCTATCGAAATTATCTTATTTGGCTATGTGTATATAGTCACTCATAAGGAAGTTCTACTTACTGCTTTCTCGTAGCATCACTGTTGTTTACGAAAATGAGAAAACGGAAAGTGAATGTACAGCGCTTAAACAGGGTTTGTGGGTACACAGTATACACTTAGAAGAGTTGGGAAACCCTGTTTACTAACCAATATTAATGGTGCATATGAGCTCCGAAATTCTGGGGAAATAAAGGAAGTATGAAGTTATTCTTGATCACCGGATACCATAGGATAACACAATCAAGAATCGATTAAATAATTTCAAATGAAAAGTTAATATTTATGCAGTCACACATATCATAAATAAATTAATTAATAGGCAAAATTATTTGATCAAGTAATTACACAACTTGATATTGAGTAGTTATTAAAGTACAGAACTAAACGACAAAACATCCAATTACTTCACAGTCTGGAAGTTTAAGTAATAGTAGTACCACTAGCTCTCAAATTAAAAAAAGAACGGTTACTTGAACTACAATGGTGTACATGACTTGTTACTCGTTACTGTGTTAAAAAAATATTATCATTATTACCTTGATTTTTACCTAGACAACCAATGATAAGATTTGAGACAGATTCTTTCCAGTTTAGGTGTAAATCATTTTAATCTATAATGTTAACTATATTTTGAATATACAAAAGTTTGAAATACGAAATGATGGGCTTCAGTTTATTCAGTCAATCTTGAGCAACAAACGATCTGACACATACAATAGTTCAAGTTCTGACACCATAAAACACACCAAGAGGAATACCAAAGAAGTAGAAACAGTAACAGTATCAGTGTTAATAAACAAGATTAGAGACCAGCAATTTTTATTTGAGAAGAATGAATTCGTAGAATAGGAAACTTTAGAAATCATGACCTACAAAAATACATGGTGAATGCATTAAGACAAACTAGAACACTCAAATGACCTGAAACTGTCAAGCGTAAGGAAAATTCTCCCTCTCTCGAAACACTCTCACATCGCCACCTGTATACGGTCACGAACAGCATTACTGTTGTTTACGAAATTCAGAGGACGAAAAGCGAAAGTTCGGCGCCCTAACCAGGTTGGTGGATACGGAGGATCTACCTGGTGGAGTTGGAAAACCTTGATTCCAAATCAATGGTTAACATGGGCTACAGGATCCTGAGAGAAAAATTGACCTATGAACCCATCGTTAGTGATTGGTTACCATGCGACTGCATCTCCTAACGTTGTTCCACTCCCTTTATAGATTAGACCTCTAGGTGAAAGGTCCATGGAGTGGTCTCCTAAGAAAACTATCTATTTCGGTTTGGGCACCTGGTCAGTATCCCAACATTCACACAAATCGAATGATTTGTGTGGCCTCCTTGTAGGAATGTTTATGTGTTTAAATACTATACAAAAATAATATAAGATTCTAAGTTATACTATACATCGTTTCTAACCATTACGATTTATATGTGGACGACTCTAACCTGATAGACTACACCTATCAATATGACCTAATCCAACAATCAAAGACTCAATGAACTAACTGTTATTTAAGAACATTTTATTCATCAGAAGATTGAAATATCCTCAAATTCAATCCTATATAAAATCTTGATCCATATACCCCATTGTTAACAAGTTGAAAACAATTAAGATGACACAATTATGTTGATATCTAACCAACCACCACCTTTTGAAGGAATTCACTACCAAAATACATTCAACGTAAAAACATAATAACATAGAAAATTGAAAGAACCATTGATAATGTAAAAACGAAAAGGGGACTTTAGATTACAAACATCAGATATTACATAAACACAATATGTGTCATCTGATTTTCATTTGTTTAAACTCATATATATATGTACGTGTTATTTATAGGATGTTCATTAGAGTCGTATACAATTAGACAAGTAGAACGAACATTCTGTCAAAATGTCAAATAGATACTATAAATATGTATTAACCGATATGACAGAAATCAAACTAGAGAACGAAGAATAAATGAATAGTAACTGCCAGGAATTATTTATGGATTATTAATAATACATATATTCTTATAGGGTAATTATAAAGCAACTAGATTATACACATGTTCGTATTCTTTTTATCATAAAACTTCATTTGACTTATTAGCTAGTGTCATACGATTTACCAATCTTAACTTATTCCTAATCCATTCGTTATAATCTCTCACACTCACAGGAACTTTTGGCTTGATTTTGTATAATAATTATTTTTTATTTCATGTTGTGATGGGGTCTGATCTGTTTGTATATAAACCATGTATATTTGAAATATAGGATTCATATAGCGGAGGCTGATATCTGTATTCTCAACTGAACAGGATGGGTTAGGCGAGAAGTTACCATACAAAGGATCGATAAGGACTCAGACTTGACTCAAGGCTGTTAGTGCTTGTTGATACATCGTTGATTTAGCACAAACACAAGGTCATAGAAGTCTCTCATTGGCGATTTCGTAACACAATATTTAACGGGATATAGGACGTAACAAATAGAATATCGGTTGATGTCAATAATGATGTGGTTTGTTGTGTGATGAATAAACACATGAATGAATGGTCATGGATAATTTTCGTAAGTTGATTAGACACGATTCTATTCGAACAAGTAAATGGCTTCTTTGTTTAAAATAAAGGAAATAAGAGGAATGAGAGAATTTGGAATGTATTTTAGATGAGATTACAGTTTTGATTGTTTATTACACATAATTTATAATGCATTTGTGCTGTTAATCTGTTAAAATCGATGTACACAATTCTAATGTTCCTCTCTAGAGTAACACACGAATCCAGTTTTAAACTCAACATGATCCCTGACATATATATATATATACCGTAAATTCCCTGGTACGGTTGAGGATTTTTAGAACCCCCCCCCCCGCCCTATCAGCGGTTCTACCCACAGCATTCTCGCGGCATTTCTATTGTTTGCGAAACTGAGAAGACGGAAAGTGAATGTCCAGAGCTTAAACAGGGTTCTTGGGTATTCAGTATCTACCTAGGCGAGTTAAGCGAATAAACCCTGATTACAAACTAAAACTAATGGTGCATATGGGCTCGCTTTGTTTGGTACCATTTCAACTGGCAGGAGGTTGAAACGACGAGAAAACTTTGGATTAGAATCAAAACAAGACTACTGAACACATTATGGTAGTTTTCTGATGTTCTGGATAAAAAGTAAGTCATGATTAGCCAGTGAGCAAAGATGGACATGAAATACAAAAGGCTGTCATTTGTCTGTAGGACTGGTTCTTTTTTTTCACTTTCATTCCATTTATTGGCCGTTTTATAATGTATTATTAAATTGTCCTTCTAGATTCTGTCTGGTTCCTGATTTTTTATCGGATAGCTAACTCAACTGTATCATGCACCTATATAAGATCAAGTAAAATGATCCATTGATTCAGTATCCAATCTAGTGAACTAGTATTTAAACTAAATGATTTATCTAGAATCGTATTAAATGTGGAATTGTGAACTGTGAATCATATGTGAGTGATCCAGAAAACGTCTCGCAAAAGACAAAAGTTTCTAAAAACAACTAAGAAGCATTTTATCCAATCAGCATTCACTAGAAGTTTGGAAAAAAACACCAAGGAAGTGAAAAGTCACATGTAGAGTCTCTGATTGGCTGGTTACTACACTACTACTATGTTGAGTAGCATTCTAGAATTTTCGTGAAAGCTAAGGACACCTAAAATATTATAAAAACCGTATAATTTCTATACTAAAACGAACTGTTGGAGTAAAGTGCTTCTCGTATATTTTGTGTTTCCTCTCTCGTGTACAGGACGCTGTTTAGTTCTAGCTTGGGGGTTACGAGAATAGATTAGGAACCAAATATAGCGTTCAATTAACAAGACTTATCAGTAATGTAATATGTATAGCTCATTTTAAATTGACTTAATTCAGGTTATAAATATTAAAGATGATATCTTTTGACAGACTAATATTAACTAAACAACTATCATTAACAGTTAGATTAATAGTTGTTTTGTTCAAAAGTTATACTTTCACAACATCAAGATACACAATCCATATCACATATGATCAACTTTAAGTGTTCATTATCAGTTCTTTTTGGATAAGAACACTTTTTTTTATGTTTACAGGTCACAAGGCCCATTTCTTTCTAAAATATTTCTGGAACCCAATTATATTAAATTTTTCAATAGACCAGACAATATCAGGAGTTCATTGAATGTTATCCATTCATTTAACTATCTTTCCAACGTGTACTTTCTTTCAAAACAGAATTTTTTATACAAAAAAAGGAACCAAATATTGTTAGGTCCCGATAACCATAATGAATAGTAACTTTTGTGATCCATTTATAGACCAATACTAAACGTATATTTTTATTGTATGGTTCTTAAATAACTAAACTATTCATATTCATATTCCTCTTATTATGAGCTTGATTTTGACCTATGAACCATTATTATACGACTTACCATTCTTGAATTATGCCCAGTCTATCAATTACTATCTCCCACATTCACAGCCACTTTTGGCCAAATCTTGTACAAATGTTATTTCCTATTTTGATGGTACGATGTGGTCTGTTTGATTGGTATATAAACTCAGTATGTTTGAAATACAATGATTCATATTGCAGAGGCCGAGATCGGCGTTCTAGACTTAACTGGCTGGGGCTAGGCGGTAGGCAGGGCCAATCAGAACTCTGGGTTGCACGCACGTGTTTTACGCGTCACTGGTTCAATCGGTAATTCGCTGCTCTCTGGTTGGCGGTATTATTACGTTATCCATTAACAGGGCACTCAGGCCACAAGTTATAACAAATATACAATTAGTATTTAAAATAAAAATCTTACCTTTGGTTTATTAGTTGGATATTTGAATAGTTTAACTTTTCCATAATCATCTCCAGTAGCTAAAATATCAGCAGTTGGACTATGATCACAAGCATTAACATCAGTACCATCTGAATCAGATGGCCAAATTCCAGCTACTTCCCAACCAAGTGTACATGTTTGACTAGCCCATTCTAAATCACGTAGTGTACTAGGTGAGACAACCTTGAAAATTAGAGATAGGAAAATATATCCATAATTATTACATTAAATGAAGAAATTTGTAACGTCAACACCTTATTAATCATTAAATAACATGAAAAAAAGACTTAATAAAAAACCAGACAAATTGGAAAGTGCAATATTAATAAAAACTGAGATCGTGAATGCGCACTGCTGAGGAGTCCCGAAATAGGACGAAACGGTCGTCCAGTGCATCAAGGTTTTCCATGGTGGTCTAGCTTAAATTAACTCATGATCTGAATTAATAAAATTACTATAATATCCACAAAACCCCTTCTGGTACTAAAAAACAGATCTCTTGGTCTATGAAATCAATTTAGTTACATTATCTCGACATATTAAGAGAAAAATATATATGTACATGAGTGGGAAGAAAGTTACGGGGTAGTCATATCAAGACGAAATATAAGTTGTCTTAGTAAATATTTATTTGTTTTATCGAAATTCACGAACATTAGTCAAGATGGCAGCAAATATATACGCGCTAGGCAAATCATTCGATTTGTGTGGAGGCTGGAATACTCTACAGGTGCCCGAACAGAAGGTGATTTTCTTAGGGGACTACTTCACGGACCTTTCACCTAGAGGTCTATTCCATAAGACAGTGGAACGTCAGAAGATCTACTCTGATGGTAGCCGGTGACCAACAATAGGTTCACACGTCATTTTTTTCCCTCAGGATCCTGTAGCCCATGTTAACCATTGGTTTGGAATCAGTGTTTTCAACTCCTCTAGGTGGACCCTCCATATACACCAACCCGGTTAAGGCGCCAAGCATGCGCTTTTCGTCCTCTGAATTTCGTAAACAACAAAAATGCTGTGAGAAAGCAGTGGGTAGGACTTCTCTGGTAGTAGCTGTACACAGGTGGACGAAGTAGTCTAGTTGGAAAGACCAATTTATTATTGAATGCAAAATTAAAGAGTATTTTCGTAAAACAATGATAACCAAACATTAAATACATAATTTGCATATTTCCCTTTAGTTGTCCTTTACATGCTTTATGATTTCTTCAATTCTGTTGTTATTATGACATTTCTTTTTCCCTTTCTGTTCTCTTCAATTGTGGATTCTCAACCTTCTGCTGAAAGGCGATCCACTTCTCATTGGTGTTACATACTATGGTGTATACTATCTGTCGACACAAGTAGTATGCAATACCAATCGGAAATGGAAAACCTGGAAACAGAAAGCTAAGAAGATCGATTTGAAGGGAATATAAGGGAAAATAAAAATGAACTGTGAACTTGAAAAATCATACAGAATGTGAAGCACAAACAATGAAAATTCGCAAATGAAGTATTCAATGTATGGTTCATATATTTCACCAAGATCCTCTGTAATTTTGTGTTGAAATACAATTGATTGTCTCCAATTGAGTGTTTGTTCACTACAATACTTCTTATATCTGTCAACATAAGTAGCATACATTACATACTTACGGTTAGCTAGACTTGAAACAATCAAATTAATCTCATTAATCTTAGATCAGGTGAATGATGATCTAAAGCTTTTACTTATACTCATTCATTAGTGTAGTATACTTTGTTAAGAACACTTTTGCGTCAGTAACCAAAAAACGTACAAAATCGCTAACTGAATCGTTCTTTTCTTGCTAACTTAAACTGCTTTTTGTTTTAGGAGCTACAGCTTGTTGACTCATTTTCAGTTAATCACAGTTAAAGGGTAGGGTAAGAGAGGAAGAATCTAGAACTTTCTAGGGTATAAATTATAAATGAACTGATAATTTTCTGACTTTCATTTCAACTTTAACTTATTTAACTTGCTTGTTAACAAAGTTTGACTAAAACAATAAACACTGAGAAATAAATGCATTATTACAACAAACTTGAATACGTTTTTGTATTGATTGTTTGAATATCCCCATTGATGTTTAGGACTGCAATTGATCAGTCTCTTATTGACAGATGTGTATCCTATGCGAAATGCCTCGATAAATTGCCTTAAGTCACAAGAATTATAAGCAGAGGTGATGAAGCGAGTGGCACTGAGTTCTAGTTCCGTAATGAACATCAACTCTATGATGCAGGCACATCAAGCTAACGAGTCGTAAATAGAACGAAATGCGTGTCCTGGATTCCTCCGCTAGCCACAATACATCTCTGTTTATAAGACTTGTATTCGTTAAATCATATGTCTTGAGTCATTATAATTTTGTTTGGAGATTTATGCATTGTTACTTGGCTTTAAGTAACATTGATGATACAATCAAACCGTAAAAATCAAAACAGAACGAGTAAAGCATAACTCAACTTCAACTGACCACTAGTTAACTATACAATTTGCAATAACAAATAAACATTGTTTAATTCATTTTCAAAATAGAATAATAAATAGAACAGGTCACTTGTTAATAAACTTTTGTTACTCATAACCGATAGGAAAAAAAACACAAATAAGTCATTTATATAGAACCAGTTAAAAGTATGCTTTAATGAGGGCTTTCACTGGCGCTAGGAAAATAACCTTTCATAACATAGAGCCAATCGGAATGTAGATTGTAGGAACAAATAATTAATTAAATAAACGCTTTAAAGAAAAAAATTTTAGTGTTAGAATTAGGTTGGGGATAAACTCAATGTTGTCAAGCCATCTGAATGCATCGTAGTGAGTAATTACGGTTATGTTTTCGTTTATTTAGTCACTTAATTGTAGATATTTCGGAATAATTTCCATTACGAAATTAACTAGACGTAAGTCTTTTGTTATGTTGTAATTTTTCTTCCATCGTAACCGAGTGAGCTACACTTGACACGTTCATAGTATGATGGAGTGATATTTTCGTAGTAGGAAACTTCCCATTATTCATGAAACCCAACAAAAATGACCAAAAAACGAAACACCCTCTATCATGGATTGCGATAATGCGAATAATACATACCCGCTTCATTTTGGTTGGGTGCCAGGTGTAGGGTCAAAATTGCGAGACAATCACTACCAAAAAAAGTGTTTTAAGATTTTGAACATGAAAAAATCAGCAACAACTTTTTATACGACTTAATACGTTTTAATCAATGAGTGGATTTTCATTGCAGTAAATGTAACAAAACGTTCAGGTACAAATACATCTTGAAACGACACTCGGAGGTTATCGATAGTGACGTACGTTTTCCCTGTAATCAGTGTATGATGAACGTTGTAGATCAACACCCAAGCCAGGAACTATCAAGTTCAGTAAAATGATTTTTTTAACCTTTCAGAGGGTTAGAGAAGACAGATAATTGAGATCAATTGAAATATTTATTTAAGCCGAAGACTTCAATAGATTAGTTCTATAAAATTTATTAGCCATTTGTAATGTACTGGCTGAAAATTCATCCATTATCGAATACAATGACGTAAAAACTAAAGACAGATTGAATGATATATTTGACTGAATTAAAAAGGAATGTAACATAATACTACTAAGCAGATACACTTACTTGTCTACAATCAAATGCAGTCCAGAACAGTATTTCATAATCTCCTGATACAGAACGTAAAAATCGCCCATCTACAGACCAATCAATGTGCAGGATAAAACTACTATGACCGCAACATCGTCCAACACGATTATATTTGTAGCCACGTTCTAACACATTATATACATAAATAACATTATCTCGTGAACCAAGAGCTAAGTAATTTCCATCTAAAGAGAACGAAAGAAATAGAGATGAAAAAAACCTATCAAAGAAGCAGAACATACAATGGAAATTAAAGAAAACGAAATTCTGTGAGTAAAATGAACTATTACAAATGGATAAAAAAATTAAGCATCGAAAATGAAACAAAGATTATTCTATTGAGATCACGATTCAATTTAAATCAGTTAACCTTTGAAAATCACAAAGCACTGGGCAGATGTTTTACCCTAGTGTGGTACTGCTCATCAGTGAGGACTGAGGACCTCACAACAGAAGGTCAAAATGAGAACCATAGGTTCCAAGTGGCAGTGCTTAACTTATAGATCACTCAGCTAGCATCCAATAGCTTACATATCTAACTTCAGTCAATATGAAATTTTCTGCAATCATCTTTGGTCGGTAACTGCCTAATATCTAATATGGTTGAACTTTGCTGATCACGAATCTAAACTAAAGCTCCAGAAATTTACCGCGAAGTTACTCAACAGTGAGCATACGATACTTTTCAGTAAAGGGCTTTTCAGAAGTTGATGAATCTTCTTAAGATTAAGAGGATGTGTTATGTCCCGATAAGCATAATGAATGGTAACTTTAGACAGAAATAACACAAACGACTGATAGAATAAACTTGTGCACTCGTTTATCGGTCAAGATATGTCATGCGCGGGCTTTAATCATCTAGTTTGAACTCACCTCACAAAGGCTCAATTCAATAGTCAATGAGTTTATGAACTAGTAGGTGCTATTTTGTGATTTGATTCGGTTTGAGCTACAGTAATTTCTGTTAAAAATGACGTGAGCTTATTATAATACAGATATGTTCTGTGATGAACTCGATAGAAAGACAATAAAAATACAGCACTCCAACCATAATCTCCAACAATAGATACCAGATAAAGACATCAGTGTTCATTCTAAACTTGATACTCCAGTCTCCTCTACAAATCACATCGCTGATGCCCACTTTTCAAGTATAACTCAACTTTTGTTTATACAAATCAATCCATTTCACAATATACTATCATAATCAATAGAAGAGACATCTTTATTCTCTTAATATTGTCGATTGTTGTATACAGTTAATTTAGAGAATAATCAGGGCTTACTATATTCATTTCCCGAGTAATGTAATCGAAGTTAACATGTATTAATTCATTCTTATCAAGGTTTGTCAGTGATAGATGTCGATCATTTATTTCTGATTTATAGTATTATCACGCAATAATGGATAGTTTCTATCTTATCACAAGAGGTAAGTAAAAACTACCAATATATAGTAAGAGGAAAAAACGTCGAAAATCCAGACTAAGGAAAAAGAATGAAATTGACCAATGCTAGAGATAAAGACCGGGAAGTGATAAGTATGTAACGGATAAAATTAATGGAAAATAAATCGAATTCAAATGTATACAACATTTGAATATTTCCAAATTATTCAGGATAATTCCATTTTTGTTCTTAGAACCGAGAACTGAAAGATATCTGGATAACTATTCATGAATATGATTATTGAAACAATCTCTGACTTCCTAAATCTAACTTCTTATACCAACCCTAATATTTCTTGGGGGATTTTGATGAAATAAATTATTCATCTGAATTACTACTCGCAACCTGATTATTTTATAAGATTAACTTCATCGTATCAAAGTTATTATAAACATCGGTAAAGGTCATAGTATCTAGAAAGACTGAAAATTGACGGGGATGAAGCAGTTACCCACAGAAGACAATGGAAGATGGTCACTCACTATCATTGGTTGATTAATGTTAGACATTAACACCTTTGTATGCCGGCTCAGTGGTCTAGAGGTTAAGCGTTCTCGAACAAGACCAAAAGTCCTGGATTCGAGTTCCGCACGCAGGCTGTTGGATACGCACTGCCGAGGAGTCCCATACTAGGACAAAACGGCCTTCCATTGCTTCCAGGCTGTTAATGGTGGTCTAATTTAAATCGATTTATGATCTCGACGAAAGAAAATATGATGTTGAAGAAGACAGTCTGTCAAGTTTCTCGCCGACATAGTAGATAGTGCATGTGATGTCAAGTCATTTAGACGGGCAACCACGCAGCAAACTGATTAGTGGAGTTCGATCACCATTGATTAAAGAACTAGATAAACGTGACATCTGTCACTACTATGTAATGTTGACAGAAATAGAGTTAACAATTGAATAGCAAGTTTAACAAAGAAGTATGAATAGATAAGTACATACGAGAACAAAAGAAAGAAAACAGTAATAACAACGTACCAGGTGAATATGCAACACATTCGATCTGTTCACCAAGTCCATCGGAATGTGCAGCAATTATTTCTTGTTTTAAACAATTGAATACTAACCAACGTCCTGTACTTGTGCCTAATACTACTAATAAATCATGTGAATTCATCAGTGATACATTGAAATCTAAATTATTTGTTTCATCAATTATATTATTATCATTAATATTATTATCATTATTATTAACTGGACTCATAGTCCCATTTGTTATTGAAACTGATTGAAGTGGATAGAATGCAGCACAATGTATAGCATCAGTGAATTCTTTTGACCAAATAGCTTGTTTTGATAATGAATCCCATAGAATTACTAAATGATCACGTCCACCAGTTAAAAATTGATGAGCTTGTGGATGTTTAGCAAGACTCCAAAATTCTTCAGAATGACCAAACATTAAAGGACTTATTTCCATACCAGGACCAGCCTTTATTTAAAAGAAAATAGGAAATTTACATATCTAGAGACAATTATTTGAATTAAATAATTTTGTATGCTGATCCAGTAAAGATTCAACTACGGTTGACCAGACTCCATTATTCTAATGAGAAGACTGAATCGAATAGGAATTTTAGAGCTGACAAAACCGAATAATTGTGCACACATCTCAACCTAGGCTTAGTGACCAATTTACTTACTCCAGTGATATGCTTCGTTTGTACACCTCACGAACTGGTGGACTTGAGATATAATGATCTATTCAGTCTTCACAATATGTGACAGGTACTGTTATGCGGCGTGTCATCAACCTTTACCTTTTAGAAAATTCAGCAAATTGAAGTTTATGGATGAACTAAGAATGTTTCAGGAAGAAATTCATTACTGTATTATAGTCGATGTCATTTCTTGATGAAAACCCCAATGAATCATACATAAACGTTTGATAACGTATGGAAACTGAATTCTTTTCTCATCAGCTAAAATGTACTCCAAAGTCGTCCATACACTCTGATCCCCCTAAGCATTATTCCAACAATCGGTTACAGTGAGATTACGATCAAAAATGATAGAAAAGTGCTTGTCATGCGGTACCAAAAACGGTAAAACAGACAATATTCAATGCAACAATAATACTACAATATATAATACCTGTAGTATCATATTCTTTGTTGTGCCAATAATTAACAACTCTCCAGGACCTTGTGTAATAGTTCTTACAGCACCATATAATTCAGTTAATTCTTCAGTATGACCAGTTGGATTAAGAGCTGCATCAAAGAATACTAAACGACGATCTTTCCCACCACCAGATATAAGATGTCCATTATTTGTTAAACATAATGAAAATATACCACCTTCATGTACACCTTGACATATTTGATTCACTGTATTTGTACCTAAGTCATAATAATGATTATAATGATGATAATTCGAAAATATTCAACAAAGATAAGAAAGGCAAAAGTATAATTTACTGACGAACCACTCATATGTAAGATAACAACTATTGAAATTTTCTACTAAATTCAATATATGATGACGGAAAACTTGCAACTTATTAACAGCTAAGTAGGCGGAAGTTACTAAGTTGCTTAAAACTTCATAAACGTGACAAAAACTACACAATTAGGGACGAATTGGAGCAGTGATGGGAACCATCCCTTTTGATATTCAATACAAGTGCGAAGTCCAACATTTTCCAGTATTTTCTCTGTTCACTTTGTGGGTTAGTGATACGTATAAGGATGTAATATTCACTGGGGAATTGGTTTTAATAGTACAAACTGATTCACATACAACTTTTGTGAACACTCCACCGTACCGCATTCCAGCTTGTTGGACGGGAAAACGTAATAGAGAGGACGTCACGAAATGAGACGAAATACCAAGTAAAAATTATACTCTTACATGCAGTATTCGCTCACTTAAATGAAACGGAAAATTATAGATCATTTAATTCGAAACTTCATTTCAGTAATCAACATGTGTCTTCTGTGAATGCATTGTTTTAGTGTTTATGAAATTGCCAGATGGAAAAAAAGCCAGTAAAATCTAGGATAGAGCTTGCAATGAAATCCTCAGTCAAAATTATACTTTTTCTTTTATGCCACATCCAATCACTAAATAAACAGAAAAAAAAGCTATATATTGCAGATTTAAGATAACACGCTTTGGATTTTGGCGTGAAATTTATTCATTTGTCTAAATAGCGTATTGGTATTTTAGCTGAAGTCGGTTCGTGATGAAAACCCTAAATCCAATTCCTAAGCCTAACCATCAATTGTAAGTCATAAGTTTAATTCCTCACACTGCTTTATAACCCTCAATTAGTCCTAGTTAGTAGGTGGATATTCTCAAGATCACTTTAGTGTCACTCAAAGGTCGTCCATAAATTATGGTTTCGTCGAAAACAAATACAATTAAAATGTATATAACATTTTAACATGACTTCGAAAGTGATTTACAGATGCTTGATATTTAAAAGTAAGACAGCAAACACACACAGCATATCCATATGTCAATATTAAATAAGAAGTATTCTTGCATCCTATTACTACTAAACATCAATTTGAATTTTTGATCCTGATCCAAACTCAAAATTACAAACTTTAATCATTAATACATATCACTTGTATTCTGATTGGCTAAAATGTAGCTTCATTTTCTTAAGATCATTTATGACTTGATGAAGAAAGCTAGTACAACTATACTTTTTTTACTGAAAGTGCCATAATCTGTACGAAAATTAAGATATTTTTGCGAACCTCACACCTTCACAAAATATTTCTCATGTGATCAGTTTAAAAGATGTAAATATAATAGGGAAGGCTACTGTCAGTGACCAATGGTTAATATGTTTAGTTAGCATGTGAGAATCATTTACTAATCGATATTAAAATGGTATTTGGTTTTTAACAAATAGACATTTATTATGTTGGGGGAAAAAACAGACTGCTTGTTTGATTTTGAATGGGTCCTGTGTAACTAGGCTGTAATGAAATGATAGGAAGGCAGTTGTATGATACATATCTCTTTCTAGTTCGATAATCGATTAGCTCATTTATATTCGCATGGGGATCAATGTCATTCTATTTACCAACTGATTGGTCAAACAACAGAAAGGGAAAAAATCATTTGATAAGCAATAGAGCAGCACGCAAATAAATTAAAAGTATAGTAACTCGTACCACATCGTCTAAAACCATAAAATATTACTATGTTTTAACAGAGCTGCTTTGAAAGCGAAGCATTCTAGGTACATTTTAGAAATACAAAAAAAACAACGTTAAACGGCCATACCAAAGAATTTAACAACGAATAACGAACTTTATACTAATTACCTCGTTTCCATGCAATAATATTCCCAGCAGAATCACCAGTCAGTAGATCACCATTTTCAGCAAATGTTAAACAAAGTATAAATTTAGGTTTATCGATTGGCTGTTTACCATTCTAAAATAATATGAACAGGTAAGAACATTGATTTCTACATAAAAATTGAGATTGACTGAGTAACTACTGAAGAACAATGAGAACTGAAGGTTGTCACTACATTCTTTTTAAAAAAAAAGAAGTGCAGCCACGACTGTACACAGTGAATCCACGATGTACAATTAGTGACGAGGACTATAGGAGAGACTATAATCTATGTACGGACCTATCTGACCTAACAAAGTGACACTTGGGTTTTCCTATAAGATTCATTTATTCATATGGTAGGGGCGTAGATGTACACTGTTGAGAAGTATCATACTAGGAAAGAATGGTTTTTCAGTACTTCTCGACGACCGATGGATGTCTAATCTAAATCACTTCATGATCTTAATCTAAAAACAAAAGGTATGTCAACAAAACAATACTGTTGTAGATAACAACACAAATAGTGAGTTTTACAAACTTTAATTCATGAATTATCTTAAGTGTATTGGTATAATGGAGGGAGTGCTTCAGTACAATAAATAATAACCAATATCTGTGTCGACAAGTGAAAAATGAGAACTATGAACACAAAATATGTAAACTACTACAAACAAAAAAGTTTATATTAAATACGGAAGTGAAAATAATAATTATTATTATTAGTGTCAAGAAATACAGTAACAGGGATAAATACACTAAATATCATAGATCCACGTTCATGTTTAAAACTACGATACAACAATGAAGCCATACATACAAAAATAATTGACGACTGTTTTGATTACTGAATATTAGTAAGTAGTATAGTGCAATATACATAAAGAAATAGAATTAGGAGAAAAATAATAGTGAAAACAGCCAAGCGAATTGAAAAAAACAAGATTGATTATATTTCAAGATCAATTAGACAATCACTGAGAAAAACTACTTTTCTTTCATTAGTTTATTTAATTTGCGACACATTGTTTACCTACATAAACACATATACACATGAAATAGCATAGACGAAATTCATTCATGTAGATTTAAACTGCTACCGTCTAGGTTTTTAAATATTACACAGCACGGAAGTAAATAAACAAACAAAAAATATTGACTTCTGGACACAAGATGTAAACAAATAACTTGTATATCTATAAATATTCAACAAATATACGTACCCATGAAAAAAAATACTATAAGTAAGGTGAACACCAACAATCAGAAACCCTTAACATTGAATAATCTATAATCATATAAATAATTTATACATACGTATATGTATATATATAGACTAGTAAAAACACATACTCATTCTAAGATCTTCAAAGTTAATCAGTGGGGTAGAAAATATTGGGATACAATATGTAGTGGAAGTTAGTGTATAACAAATGAGAAGTTGAATGGGTAGAATAAGAAAACGATGATTAACGTTGAATGAAATTTAAGGTACTGAGTCTGGAAGGGAATGCAATAATGAATACCATAGTCTTCCACTATAGAAAGCCAGCTGAGGTGGGAATAAATTAGTGGTAGTTTGTAGTACTAAGATGGTGCATGATGTGTGTTCAAACTGCAGTTCCGTACAAATTATAGTTACGCTTTGTTGATGAGTTAAGATTGATTAATTTGTAAATTATTGTGCATACATGTAGATGAGGTCTAACATTATTTTAATGATGAATGTTAAGAAAGAATCAAAGTAAATATATTAACATTAAAAATCGAATATCGTTTAGACTGTTCAATGTAAAGCCTTTTTAGTTTTATTATCATGGAGATCAGTAATGAAGTACAATTTGATGTACTTGGAAGATAAGATGAAGCCTAGTTTTGCACCGCTGAGTAGTTTGGTACAAAAAAAGAAAAGACTGTCTTAAACTCCTTATTTTTTATTGGTAATCCTGTCGAATACCTCCAACCACCGAATAATACTTTTGATTGTTAATCCTAAACTTAATGTATCAATTAGAGGTGATGATTATCTTGTTATTCAAAAGATTCGAAAGTATAGTAGTGGTTTGTATATTTAATTTCGAACTATATATTGTCTAGTGATCTTGATCGAATTGGGGAAAACGCAACTCAATATTTTAAAGTCAACCGCACTAATTACCACAAAGGCCTGTCAATAAATACGCTAAATTAGCAACTAGAATCATTTGGTTATGGCTGTTGTACAATGGCAGTTGGCCTACATATTAATCAATGATAACCATTGAATTTCTTGATGCTAGTTTGATCACTAGACTAAGTCACAATTTCTAATCACTAAATGCAGCTCTATGAGTGATATTTTTTTGTTATCCAAATATGCACTTGTCATAGAGAAACAAAAATGAGATGATGTGTGACGAAACAAAATGTGATATGGAGAGGCGACTGAAAATCTTGATATTAGAAGACTTTCATGGATGATTTTTAGACAATGAAAACATAAATGGAAGTTTTGATGCAACAAATCTATTGTATTCTTGAGGGGATGCTTTAATGTACTTTGAATTCAGTAAAATATAGATCTCAGACCGTGTATTTATTGAACAGACTATTTAAATTATCACTTCACCCAAATTTCCATATCCATACCAGTTATTATTATTATTATTATTATTACATTGATTGCGTGATAACTTACAACGAATCCATTACACTATTTGTAACTGACCTTTCTAATTTACAAACGGTACAGTTTGAAGTTTTTATACACAGTGGTAAATGCAACAGTTCACTATTTTTTACACACACAACAACATTATTCTCTTCACTAACGTGGTTTATTTTGACCATTGTAAAATAGCACAACAATTATGGATTTAAAGCTGTAAAGCCTGATGATAGAATTTACTTAAAACAATTGTTCTCTAACATATTTTTGTGTTCTGAATATTTTATGAGAACAGGATCAAGGACAAGTTGGTTTGGATGGAGTTTTTTTCTCTAAACTGGTTGGTTTTGTCGTGAAGGTTTCATTGTTCTTCTGAACGACATCATCAGCACAAACTTCAAGTGAAGTGTTCTCCACATACGACGCACAACTTGTCCTGTCGACCTCGATCTTGATCGGTTAGTGTTGACCTTTAACTTGTTACTGTTTACTTCTTTATTTTGATTGAATGTCCGATTGATTTGATTATTGGTCCCATATTGATCCATGATTATTCACAAGAACAATGAGAACTCAGTGACCAAACCATCTAGTTCAGAGAACAAAACTCCACCATAATTATCCGCCTGACCTACAAGTTTTCTCCAACATCTCAACAGCAAGTTGGCATTATACTGAAATCTTTCAAGATCGTCAATTGATAATAAAAGTCTAATCACTACAAATCCGCTTAAGTCACAACCGTCAAATATCTAAAGCCAGATTTATATATCCAAAAAGGAAATAGTGGGAAGCTTTCCTTAATATTTGACGTCATCATCAGTTGATCACACAATATTCTTGCAACGCTTTCTCATCTTTTAATTACATCATCTCTTCCTGAAAAAATTCAACAATTTATTTTCAACCGACTGATCTGAACTCATATTATTCTTAATAACTATTAATTTATGTTCGCTTACAACATTAAATTGGCTGTATGATCTCGTGTTCTGTTTCTGATGATCTAGAATCTTGTATTACATATTATATTAATTGACTACATTGTTTATATTACTTCTTTGCATCAATTCGAACTGAACATTTTATCATACTGCGATATAAATCCACATCCAACTAATTACACAGTTTTAAGTAATGTGAAGTTTAACTTTCAAAATATATATTATAAGTTGATAAGTATCAGTTGAAGAGAATCTAACCCAATAAAGTGGAATAATATCATACTACCTCAATCATATCATTAAGGTAGCCTGTTTGAATATGTGAGCGACTTGTTCTTACCGTCTAGATATTTCAACAAGTTATTTGTCTTTTTGTTTGTTTCAACAAATCATCATTATGTCTATTAATCACAGAACTTATTTAGGAGCATCTATGAAATGTTTACGACCTTTCGCCGTACAAGTTACAAAAGAAGTACAATCAGAGACATCATGGTGGCTGGCAAAATATGGATTGAATAGAATGAAGATTATTCAGATGTTAATTTGTGGGACTGCTAACATCTAACTGGCGATCACTCAATATATATCGTCAAGATCGATCAAAAAATAAGAAGAGGAAAATTGCTGAAACACTTCAAGCTAAGAATTTCATATTGTACCAAAAATATGATATTGAATAAAGCCATCATCAATAATAATAATTAATCCTTTAATTTGCTCTTTTTAAGAGAATCAAAAAAGAACTTTATTGAAATAACTATTGATTAAAATAAACAAGCATCATTTTCTTATTGTTGCTTTTTAACTTACTTCAAATATTCCCATCTTTTTACTTAGTGTACATCCATCAAATGTCCAAAATGCTAAATGACCTTTACCACCAGTTACAAGGGTTGCATCATCTAATGGATGAAATTCAACAGCTGTTATTGGTTCTGTGGAACACTGAGAAGTAAAAAAAAAGAAAAGAGGAAACGAATTTTCGTTTAAACAATAAATTTTATTAAAAATTCAAAATGATGCATTTTATTTCAATTAAAAGCAATACATACTTGATAATAAATACGTTTTGTTATATCTCAATAAGCGCTGGAAGTGGATAGGACACACATTGAGGAAAGCATTCAATTATGTCACAGGAGAGGAAGACCAAAGAACACATTACGCCGGCAAATGGGGATAAAAATGAGTAAAATGAACAAGAATTGGATGGAACTAGAAAAGAAGGCACAGGACAGAGTGGGTTGGAGAATGCTGGTCGGCGGCCCATGCTTCATTAAGAGTAACAAGCGTAAGTAAGTAAGTAATATCTCAATAAGTAGAAAAATTGTATTTTTGACGATGTTTCGTGACTTAACGTAAGCCACTTCTTCAGAGCAAATAAATAACCGGAATAAAATCAACACAAATTTAAATAATACTAAAAAACAATGCAAAATATTTTTAGTACAATCAAAATCATAATACGTTTAAATATGTCAATATCAAATTGTTCTTTGTTAAGGTGAATTCTTATGACCTGCCACTGTGTTGGGGAAGTTAGATCCCCAGAACTCACTTGAGAAAGGACCTAATTTTGTAATTTTATTTAAAACATTTGAATTTCTTTATTTTCGCACCAAAAGCGCTCTTGTCACCTTCATGTCGTATTTCCCACTGGGAAATATCTTAAATGCTATTGGTCCGTTGCATCTTTTAGTATGCTATTCGGTAACTCTCTCCAAGGACGGTTTTGTACTGTATATATACGTTTTGAATTGTGTTTGTTGTTATCGCTCGTTTCTGGCAGTTTGCAGGGGCTGGGACGCATCAATAGCTAGCTTACTGGTCTTTGGTCATCGAGTCTTGTTTCTCATTCGCAGATTAAGTGAACTCGTGATATCTTCAACCCTAACGCACTGTATTATATTGTGTCCTTTACATATAGACTAATTTCATATGTAAAACTTCTTTTTGAATTTTTTTCTGTTATTTATGATCCAATTGTAGGAGATTTCTAGGAAACTAAAAAGTCAGTCGTCTACTAGAAAGTGGTTAAAAGTCAATGTCAAGAGTTCACTTGTAAAAAAAAGACATTAGATTTACATAATTGATTTCGGAAAGAAAAAATTATTTTCGCAGTACTTACTAATGATATTTAATATCTAACTATGAAAAACCGAAAAAGAGTCAGAAATGATCATTAACAACAACAAGAATAATAGTAAAAGTATAGTATAGGTGTAGTGAACAGAACACGGATGGGGACAATCGAATGTATTTAACACAAAATTACAGGACTTGTTAAATAAATCTTACAATCATAAAGTAAATGCCTAATTTGCAAAATGTCCACCAATTGCCTCAAAATGACTCAGACTTCATTGTTCTCGCATTTTCATACAATTTGCATTTTGTTGCCATTCTTACTGTTCGATCCTCTTGTCTCTCTTCTGCCAGACCTTCTGTTCACGACTAACATCATATACTACTTATGTCAATATAAGTAGCACACACCACATGGGGACAGGCCATTCACAATCAAAAGTGCAACATTTAAATTTAAGAGAGGAACTAAAATGATGAGAATAAACTCCACTCTCGTTCGAAACTTTAACCATGTACTGAGCAATCAACCAAAATGAGACGGGAATTATTATTTATACTAAGATCATTCATAATGGAGAGTGTATTAGATTCTCTATTATTTTGGTGGCTTACATGAAAAATGCAAAGTTTTCTATGACGAAAATACTAATCCATTATGCTACGGACGTGTCAAGTGTAGCTCACTTGATGGACGAAAAATTACAACAAAACAAAAGTCATACTTTCAAGAGAAATTATTCCGAATTATCTAAAATTGAGTAACCAAATAAATGAAAGCATAAATATAGTTACTGGATGCACTGCTTAAGACGTTTAAAATGAGAAGAATAAATTATTTTTTTGCCACCATACAGTAAAAATATTACTATCAAACGTATCAATTGTTCCATTCATTCACTGTAAATTGTATATAACAAGCGAATCCTAAATACTTAACCCTAAACATCCTCAATTCCTGAAATGAACCTCAACCCATTGGCGTTAATTTTAAAGAAAAACTAGTTAGATTCTACTTCTAACATTTTCGGGGAAAATTCATTCATCTATTTGCTAAAAAGCATTTTTCTCACTAAAGTTGATGTCAGTTTGTGAAGAAAAACTTAATCCTAACCACCACCCCCTAAATACTTAACTCTAACCAAGACCAATATGTGCTGAATCGCTTCAACATAAAGACTTAAAGAAACGGATAATCTATACTTTTATAGGCCAATTCATAAGTCGTAGATTGTTCAATTCATAGGTAGATAAATCAGGCCCCCAAATGCCCTGGTATGGCCGGGAGTGGAGCGGGTCCGCCCTTCCTTTCGAAACGCTCTCACACGGTCACGCGTATACAGCTTCTGCCATGAAAGTCCTACTCACTGCCTTCTCGTGGCATTACTGTTGTTTACGAAATTGAGAGGACGAAAAGCGAATGTCCAGCGCCTTAACCGGATCCCAAACCAACGGTGCACATGGGCTCCAGTATCCTGCGGGGACAAATGGTGTATGAACCAATCGTTGGTCACCGGCTACCATGGGACTCCATCTCCTTACGATGCTCCACTGCCTTGTGGATCAGACCTTTAGATTCAAGGCTCAGGGTGAGGCCCCCTAAGAAAACCACCTGCTTCGGTCTGGGTACCCGGTCAGTATCACAGCCCTCACACAAATCGAATGATTTATGTGGCGCATATCTATTTGGTGCCTCCTTGTACCAATGTTTATGTGTTTAAATAAATAAATAAATAAAATACATCCATTCATTACATTAGATCTATTTACACTTTGTAATGTCAATAGTTTCACTTTTCATTTACCCAAAGTTACTTTTTAATTGGCTAAAAAGAAGAAATGAAAATTTGTCTCGGTTATTTTAAACTTTTATTCATTACTAGAATATTTCATATTCATTCATTAAAATGTACATTAGTTAGAAAAGAAGAGCACAAGAATAACCTAGAAGAATTCAGATGAAAAATGTGGTCGATTTTTAACTAAGTTACTATTACTTTATCATACACTTGGCCTTTGTAAGTAAACAAAGATAAATCTTGTGACATTGAAAAAGAAATACACTTTGATAAATAATAAGTTTGAATTAAAATGATATTTTCAATCATTATTATGATATATGTAGGTCACTACTTATGCATATTAATGAGATGATACATGTAGATGGAGTCTAACATTCTTTTTATGATGAATATTTAGAAAGAATCAAAGTAAGTATGGAATATCGTTTACATTGTTCAGTGTAATTATCACAGTATAGGGTTGTAGAGATTATTAAGTTTTTGACTGGGATCATGAACTGATTAATGTTAGACCACCATTGAAAACCTGGAAGTATTGAACGGCCGTTTTATCCTGTTGTGAGATTCTTCAGCAGTGTGCATCTACGATCCCGCTAGCGGCATTCGAACATATGGCCGTCGGTATCGTGTGTGAACGATCAATGCAAAGTTTCTTTTAGTTTTAATATCATGGAGATCAGTGACAAAGTACAATATGATGTACTTGAAAGATAAGATGAAGCCTACTTTTGCTATTCAATATGTGCATTGCTCAACTCTAATACAGTAGTTCTATCATTTAGTTATTCGCCATAGGACTAAAATATTTAATGTTCGACTATGGTTTAGGTCGTTGGTGCGCACCGCTGAGGAGTTTTGTACAAAAGTGAAACGACTGTCTGAAACTTCTTGATTTTTATTAGTAGTCCAACTGAGACCAATCTATGACGAATTTAATTGTCATGTGTTCAGGTTGTATGGGACTAAGTGATAAAATTAATTTAAATCAACTTCTTTGTTTAGGATAATTAATAAATATATTGAAACAGACAATCGAAATGATGTTTAAATGAAATCATCAATCGGTTAATGTTAGACCAACATCGAAAACCTGGAAGTACTGGAAGGCTGTTTTGTTCAAGTATGGGACTCCTCAGCACCGCACATCCATTATCCTGCAAACAAAACTCGAACCCAGGAATTTCGGTATCACGCACACGAACGCTTGAACTTTAAACCACTGAGCCGTGACCCAATGGTATTAATTTCTAACTTCAACCAATCCACGAGATTTCGTAACTATTTTCCACTGTTTTCGGTGAGTAACTGCCTCGCACTCAACAAGATTTAGCTCCACTGGTCACTGATTTAAGTTAGATATTAATACCATCGGATGCCGCTTCAGTGGTCTAGATATTAGGCGTTAGCGCTCGAGACCAGAGGTCCTAGATTCGATTTCTTTATGAAGGGTCGCGAATGCCTGTTGCTGAGGAGCTTCATGTCAGGACGAAACGGCAGTCCAATTTTTCCAGGTTTTCAATGGTGGTGTATCTTAGGCAAACTCACGACTTCAATGATATTACGGATATTACACTAACACTACTATGATAGTTATATATACATATATATCATTTATTTAGAAACTGATGGCTGCTAGTCACAGAAAAAGGTAATAAGGAACAGACATGAGTTACTACGAATTCTGACCTTTTTCTTTAACCAACCATAAAGGTTCACCGTTGCACTTCAGATATGATCACCTCTATGTTATTTGAGATTAAGGTAATGAATAAACACTACAATGTGTGATATATCAATACAAGAGAAAAATATAAGTGGGGTACACTATTATTATTACTAAACGATTAAAGTTATAAGAATTTCTAATTCAAAACAAGTAATAAACAAAATAATCATGAATTCGAGAAGATTAGGATACACATACGCTATTCAGCTACAATCTTTAATAAAATCGAAAACCGATACGAAAAAGCTTAAATCTGATTTGATAATACGTTCTAGTATTCTTCTATACACATTTTGATTCAGTTACAATAGTTAGTATTTCTGATAATCACAAATACTACTACTGATATTTCTATATGTACGTTATTCATCTTGTTACTGAAATGAAAATCTGCGTTGACGTGTGAAACGTCGCAGCATCACAAATCATAAATGAATGGGAACAAAAGGAAACTTTTTATAATTTACGAGATTTTGTGCTGATAAATTGGAATTAAAAACGAAAACAATACAGACTCCGTGTTATACTCACCCCGAGTATTACTTTATTTTGGGGTCGATAATTCATAAATCATATTAAACTAGAATGAACTGCTTTTCTATACAATCAGTATTTTTTACTGGTTATCGATCTACACTAGTCAGTTATCTTAGAGACTGCTAGGGTTGAAGCTATCAAAAGTTCACCTTAACGGCGAACGAGAACAAGACTCAGTGACTACAGATCAGTAAGTTAGCTATTTGATGCATCCCAGCCCGTCTAACTAGAGGGAAAAGTCCAAGCTTGGAATGTGGAAGTATATTCTGCAAACAGCCAGAAACGAGCGATAACAACAAACACAATTCAAAACGTATATATACAGTACAAAACCGTCCTTCGAGAGAGTTACCGAATAGCATACTAAAAGATGCAACGGACCAATAGCATTTAAGATATTTCCCAGTGGGAAATACGACATGAAGGTGACAAGAGCGCTTTTGGTGCGAAAATAAAGAAATTCAAATGTTTTAAATAAATTACAAAATTAGGTCCTTTCCCAAGTGAGTTCTGGGGATCTAACGTCCCCAATAAAGACTACCATGAAATTTAAGAGCAGTTTCAATGGTTCATCACTTCAATACATAAAATTACTTGGTAATAATTCCCAACAGAATCTTACGAACTAACAACATTTCATACAGAAATTGTTCATACAAAAATGTTTATTTCACAATGAAAAAGCAAAGAATTGAAAGGTATTATATTTTGCCTACTGTTGTATAAATATAACACGTACTGGTATTTTAGAAAATAAAAACTAATCAATACTAATCTCAATGGATAGTAAGAACAAAAATAATTTCTAATGGTATTGTAAAATGATTAGATGTTGCTAAACGTGTAGCCAGTAAGATGAAGTGGTGAAGAGAGGGGGGGTTGTGAGAAAAAGTGAGATACTATATTCATTGCAGATTATATATATATATATATATATATATATATATATATAGAGAGAGAGAGAGAGAGAGAGAGAGAAACAGACAGATGGAGGGATCGATATGGAGCAATGACTTAATAGTACAGGGATTCAACTCGTAACCAATAGGTCCCGAGTACCAGTTAACTTACTTCGATCTGATTAACCGGGTAGTATCATTAACCCACAGATATAAAGTTGAGCTCAAAGCCGAGCACACGAATATGTACTTGATGAGTTACAAATTGATATTGACTGAAGGAAGTATCGATAAAACACGTAAAACACTATATAGTTGTTTTAATCTTAACAAAGGACTTAACAATGTATGCCTATGACACCCTAAAAGATCGACAGGAGAACAATCAAGTTACCCAGCAAACATATTACCTTGAAATTATTGAGTTAGAGGATTGCACTGGCATATATATTTATAATCAATTCATAGAAGAGTACAACATTGTCTTGTCTTATAACTGGTGGATATGTGATTCACGCCCAATGTTTGTTATTACTATCAATATCTTTTAAATAAATAAACAACCCTTCATGTAAAATATTAATTTAGATTATAAGTTCAAAGTAAATTTTGCACTAGGCGAGTCTTAAAGTTTAATTATGACATTAATTTTTTTTATCGAATTGGATTTTAACTACATTGTATTCATATTCACATCCATATTCATATTCATATTCATATTATTATTATTATTATAAAACAGTTATATTTGTTACTATTTAAACACGTAAACATTGGTACACGAGGCACCAAATATATATGCACCACACCTCATCACTCAATTTGTGTGTGAGGGTTGGAGTACTGCCCGGGTACCCAGACCGAAGCAGATGGTTTCCTTAAGTGACCACTCTCCAGACCTTTCATCTAGAGGTCTGATACATAAGGCAATGGAGCAACATTAGGAGATCCAGTCCTATCGCATCCGGTGGCCAACAATAAGTTCATACGTCATTTGTTCCCTCATAATTCTGAAACTCATGTGCACCATTGCTTTGAAATTAGGGTTTTCCTATTTCACTAGGTGGATCCTCCGTACCAACCAACACCATTAAGGCGCCGGACATTACCTTTACGTCTTCTCAATTTCGTTAAACAACACCCTCACCGCGAAAAGGCAATGAATAAGACTGCACAGGTAGTTATATACATTAACAACCAAATTCCTATGAATATATGTAAACGACAATGATTGTAAACATGCGATTGTGTACACTTGTAGGTCAGTCAGTTACAACGTTGAACTTCGTACGCACGTACATCAGTAAGAGTTGCCAAACCACATCAGCACAGCGATGCAATTGTCGATTCAAATCCCGTAGTGGTAGAGGTAGTAAAAGTATTAACAGTAATCGAAAAGATTAGGGTTTGAAGATGTTATTCAGGGATTATAATCCAGTGAAATAAATTTAGAAAAACACAAAAAGGAGAGGAGGATTCAAGAGATTAGAATTTGGGAGGTCGTAAAAAAGCAAAATAAACCCAAATTCATGATATACAGTTAAAAATCAAGTACGTATATATATATGTAATTTAAAGATTTGTAATAACTTGCAACAAGAAATCATACATACTGCATAGTGTTAGTAAGTATAACTAAAAACTTAGTTTTAGTGAGTAAGAAATGTTGTGTCAATATACTAAGTTTAAAAGTAAGATTTCCAAATAATCTTCTAAGTTTTAAGACCTCAAGTAGACTGGTGGGTGATGAATCTTATTCACAAATACAAAATAAATTAACGTTGTTTTCCTAAACGAGATTTGACTGCTCATCAGAATGGACGTGTGGACTAAGTAGCAGGTCTTTATCTATATGAGTCAAATACATTCTTGATGTACCTCAAAAAATTTAACAATCAGACATTTAGTACGGATAAGGTGTTATAACTTGTGGTTTTGTGCCCTATTAATATATAACGTATTCATACCGCCAATTAGAGAACAGTGATTTATCAAGCGCACAAATGACGCATAAAACCGTACGAGCAGTCTAGAGTACTTATCGGTCCTTCTTCCTGCCTAGCCCTGCCTCTTAAGTCAAGAACACCAATCTCAGCCTCTGCGATGTGAATCATGTATTTCAAACATACAAACCAAACACACCACATCGTACCGTAAAATAGGAAATAACATTTGTACAAGATCTAGCCGAGAGTGGCTGTGAATGTGGGAGATATTAATTGATAGACAGGACATAATTCAAGAATGGTAAAACGTATAATAATAGTTCATAGGTCAAAATAAAGCTCATAATAGGAGAAACATGAATATGAATAGTTTGGTTACTTAACAATTATGCGATAAAAATATACGTATGGTATTAGTCCAGAAATAGATTCCAACAGTTACCAATCATTATTCTCATCGGGATGTAACATAAGGGATCAGGATATCCGCGATATGTTCATTGTTTAATAAGTGTTCTGTATACGGAAGTTTTTCTCATTTTTCCGTTCATTCAGTGAGCGAATGCTAGACATCAGAATGTATTTTTCGTTAGAGGTTTCACTTCGAACCGTAATTTTCATTACACCGATGGCTTTTATTCTTCATGTGGAGCTGCGCTACGCTGATGCATTCATCAGAGAAAGTTGTGAATAGCCCTAGTTTCTTCAAATGAAATATATAGTGCAAAATATACTCTAATATGCGAAACCCAGACACTAAGTGGACAGATGAATGGCTTGTACTGGAGGATACGACATACACATTGTACGCTGAAAATGTTTCAGATAACCTCCGTCGACACAAGTAATGAGGAGTATCTGAAGTATATTTATACACATATATAGCTTGGAAAATATGTAATTAATCAGTATCTTACTTTAGTTTCCGTTATTTTGCGACTTTTCTGCCAATCCCATATTGAAATTACATGATCTGTAGCTTCGTCAACTGCACATAATTTAACTCCGTTATCCTATAAAAGTAAATAGTTTGATTAACAAAACGATAAATAAATACAAGCCAACAACGATAATACACAAAATGAAACTGAATCAATACATCAATTTTTATTCACTCAACATGTTACTATTGGAAAACAAAGTAATGGACTGTATCCATGACGGTAGTTATTTGCAACAAACTCAAGGAATGTGATTACTAGCACTTCTGGCTGTTCTTTAGTTTATAAGTGTTGTGAGATGTGGTGTTCGAACGTTGATATTGATACGTAATTTGCCTATATATGAGACTAGCCAGCTATTCGAATAAAAAGACTAAGATAGAGAAAGGAAGTCTATTAACTAAAGCAATTCATTTATATGTGTATTCATTTATATAAACATATGTCTGTCCATATGAATGTTATTTTCATTAAAGATTTCATATTTGACTGTATTAACATTTTTCATACAGGTGTATTGAAACTTTGTTACACTGAACTGTTCACAACAGTTCAAAATGAAATCTTTAGTGAAAATTACCTCTCTCATAAGCAGTATTCATCTATTAAATGAATGGTCGAAAAAAAGCTAGTAATTGCTACATATAACATTATCTAATGAACATTGAAAACAATGAGAATAATCTCAGATCAAATCTGTTCCATACAGTAACAAAATGATTTATAATTAGATTTCCAACAAGAGCAATTTGTTCAGTCAAGTGTTGTTCCAAGTTATGAAAAGTAATAAATGATCATTAGTCGAGCGAGGTTATTTTCTTGTTCGAATGTTCAAGATTGTATTTTATAGAATTCAGTGAGTGCATAAGTTAAACATTCAAATCCTTCCATCCATCCATAGAGCAACAGAAGTTTCAACAGACAGATAATGATAGTATTAATAGTTCGAACAGAACAAATGTAGAATATATATAAATATATATATATTCTCTCGTAGATAGATAACCATCGAAATTTCGTCAAATTTCAGTAGACTTTTTATCACCGACTTGAAATCAGCTGGAAAATCATCAAAAACCAAGAAGCGATGGAATCACTGGTCTCAAGTCAAAGTTGTCATATTCACATATACATACATTTTAATTAAACGTAAAGATGAAACACAGATTACCATTACCATTATAATAAGTATCCAAGAAAAGTTGCACCACCAAGGTAACAGAGGATGCAGCATATTCAACAACAATTGATTAAAACAATGATGTAGCATCAAGGATAAACAAGAATTATTTGAATTCATTTTGCATTGTTTATTTGAATCTTCCCATTGATATTTAGGATTGTAATTGATCAGTCTCTTATAAACATATGTGCATCCTTTACGGATTGCCTCGATATTGCCTTAAGTCGCAAACATTATAAACAAAGATTGATGATGGCTAGCAGAGTAATCCAGGACGAGCGATTAGTCCCATTTGGGACTCGTCATTTGGATGTACTTGCATCCCAGAGTTCATTTTCATTCCGGGACTCGAATCCAATAGGATGAAATACGCGTCCTGGATTCCACTGCTAGCCACTGCCCATCTTTGCTTAAGAATTAGTATTTTTCTATGAGATGGTAATACTTTAAAAAGAACTCAATCGTATTAATTATAAACCGAACAAAAATGAAATCCATTGATCATTACAAAGCATATCACTAACTACATTTATCACATGAATTATGAAAATTCTACTTGGATAAGTCGATCAAAACTGTAGTGGCTGGTACTATGTCAAGCCAACATAGGCTATTATTCTAGCTTATGGACAGGCCAATATATTCATTCTTCTCAAGCCACTTTTGACTTCGTCAATCATTTACTTACTAACGCTGACTGTTTTTTAAATGATCATTTGTGTGTTAATTGCTTACCCTAGTCATTGTGTATGTAATTTATTTTTGTCTGAATATAAATATTGAGTCACGCTTGATTAAATCCGGTTGGCTCACTAGCCTTTTCCTCTGCACGTCACTTCGTTTCGTTTCGCTTCGCTTCCCTAATTGTATGTCCGGATCAATGTGTGCGTAGTATACGTATTCAAAATCCATTCTCGTATTTGGCTTATTTTATTCCGTTATTCTCCAATGCAAATTAAGTCGATAAAAATATACGAGGATCGGCAGTATGTATATTTCGATAACAATAAGCACACGATTTAACTGGAGTCAGATATGGGGTCACTAAAACTCTTCAATTTGGTAATTTATTAACCTGAGATTGAAACTTAGTAACTAAGTATATGTTCATGTAATCCAGACCAAATTAAACTTCATTTAACACCGTCGGGTTAGACAAATCAAAGTAGTAGAGTCTTAAACTTGAGATTAAGTGACAGCCTCTCTCTACCAAATAATACAACTAATCAATCAAACTCGACATTGATACACATTCCATGTCTAAGGTCATCTAGTGATATTATAGGTCAGCCTAAAACAGTTTAAATACAGAGGTGTTCGAACATATGGTGAACTGCTCAGAAGTGAATGTCTGAATTCTTAATCTATTATCCCATTCTATGTTGGCCAATTGCTAATACTTGAAAAACACGAAGAAATAATGGTCAATAATTTTATTCATGATGATTATGATTCAACTAAACCTAAAACCAAACTGACTAGGCAAATATACTTAACTTTGACGATGCCGAAGTGTGAAGAGAGAAATAAGGAGGCAATGACAAATAATTGGAGCTATTTTTAGTGGGCTATTTCACTTGATTCTCCTATATTTTAGTTTGCATATGATTGTATTTTTCTCATTTCTTGCATGTTTTGGTTTTGTTAGTCAACCACTCATTCATGCACCTTTTGAGTTAGTTTGAACCAGGAATAGATATTCTAACACGTCCCGCTCTCTCACTCTCCCTCTGTTTGTCAACCTATCAAATCATAGGTCAGTGGTAGGATGGTTCTTTTCTTTCTGTCCTCAAGGCCCTACAGTCACGAATCGAACTCACATGTTGCAAGTCTCAAGATCATACTAAGTCATATATCACATCGAAGATGTAGACTAGACCAAAACAACTCTCTTCTGACTGATAGATTCTGGGTTCGAATCTCGCGGGGGGCGGAACCGTGGATGCGCACTGCTGAGGGGTCCCAAAACAGGACGAAACGGCTGTCCAGCACTTCCACGTTTTCCATGGTGGTCTAGCTTCAAATGACCCATCATCTCAACCATTGAAATTAGAATAACAACGATAGATCATTTGTAGAGTCATAATAACAATAGGAATAACAAAAGAGAAAAAAAACACAAAAGAAAGTAATAAACAAACTAACCGTTTTTGAAAAAGACAAACAACAAACTGAACGTTCAAATTCGCCTAAACCAATAATTTTCAGTGTTTTCAAATCGACTGAACTCCAAATTCGTACATGTGGCTAGATTTTTTTGTTTGTAAATGATTTAAGGTAAAAACCGGAAAACAATTTTTTTATTTTGTCAAAAGAAAAATAAAAGATGGTAAAAGATATAATTGATCATGTTAATGCTGATGATGATACTAAAGTACCATTCCATATCAATATGGTTTTGTAAGTATAGCTTACTGATGGGAACAGTTGAAATAGTGATTTTTTATAATGGAGGTTTGTGGAGATTGTAATGATTGTAATAGTTGAATTCATGTGTCGATGTAAGCTAGACCACCATTGAAAACCTGGAAGCACTGGACGGATATTTGGTTTTAGTATGGGACTCCGTACCAGTGCGCATCCACGATCCTTCCTCGCGAGATTCGAACCCAGGACGTTCGGACTCGCGCGTGATTTTTTTTCTCGTCAATTTATTTACATTTAACACCGTTGAACATGTTTTGACACAGTTGGACAGTTAAATTAACTCAGCGACAAATAGGGACTTTTATTTGGTAAACTTGTTTGATATCATTTCACTATAGCTCTAGCTTAAATTTTGTTTCTTCTAATGTGTATACAAACTGTTTTACAGTTACTTATTTAAGACCATCACATAATGAATACATTGTAATAGGTATTAAATATAATGAAGTACTTGTGAACTAGCAGTCATGTTTATCTTGTACATCTTATACATCTTCGATTAACTTTTGTATGACAATCTAAACCACATTGGATACTAATTGTATATTTGTTAACATTTTAAGTATGAAGTTCCATGATTAAAGATTGAATTTACGATCCGTTTTTTAAACTATATTTGCATTCTCTTAGAAAATATTTTATATCATTTAGTTCCAATCTCAATATAATCAAATGTAAAATAAATAATCAATATCATATTATATTGTATGAGGATCATTGAAATTTATATTAAAGAAGTACACTTAACAACAACTTTATTGAAAATATATTCTATCCAATAAATAATCAATTTTCAGTTTAGGGGGTGTGGAGATTGTTAAGTTTTTGATTGAGATCATGAACCGATTGATGTTAGACCACCATTGAAAACCTGGAAGCACTGGACGGCCGTTCCGTCCTATTGTGGGACACCTCAGCAGTGCGCATCCACGATCCCGCTCGCAGGATTTGAACCCAGGGCCTTCAGTCTCGAGCGCGAACGCTTAACCTACCGGATCACTGAACCGGCATCCAATGGTGTTAATGTCTAGCCTCAACCAATCCACGAAGTTGCGCGACCATCTAACATTGTACTGAGGTAGACACTTGTTTCTACCCGACACATATTTATTTTTTTTAATCATATCAATTAAGTTAGTTACGAATCTTTTTACTGTTTCATTATGATTTTCCTTTTTTTTCCAAATGCTGTATATAATTTTTTATTCGAATTGAATTATTTGGATGATATTATACTTAATTTTTTCAAGTTATATTTTAAGATAGATTGTTTCAATTCATTAAAAACCGATTTAAGTAGTAACTGTGTGTTTTTGCCTTTGTAATTATCATGTGACAAAATCGCTAATCCATATATGGAATTGTATGATCTTGTACCTGTCTTAATCTAATTATGAATCAACCAGAAATGGCAGTCTTGAAATGGCTCTGAATACTTATTAGTGCTTCTCTACTAGCCCTTCCTACTGAGTCCAGAACACAATCTTAAACTTCACTGTATGAATCGTATATTACAGATATACGTGGATTCTATTTAAACAGACCGGATCGCATCACACCATAAAATGACAAAAAATAATTATTATACGAAATCAAGCCAAAAACGTGGTTGTGAGTTTAGGATACTGTTGTTAATAAATTGGGAATAAATTAGGAATGATAAATCGTATAACAATGGCCTGTAAGTCAAATGGAAGCTTAAGATAAAAGAAATACGACTATATATATATATATATAATCTGGGTTACTTAATAGTTATATAATAACTATATTTGTTTATTTCAACACATAAATATTGGTAAAAAAAGGGGCACCGAATACATATGTGCCACACAAATCGTTTGATTTGTGTGTGGGCTGTGATACTGCCCAGGTGCCCAGACTGGAGCAGGTGGTTTTCTTAGGAAGTCACACCTGGAGCCTTTAACCAATAGGTTTAATCCACAAAGCAATCGAGCAGCGTAAGGAGATGCAGTTCCATGGTAGCCGGTCACCGACTATTGGTTTATACGCCATTTGTTCACTCAGGATCCTGGAACCCATGTGTACCGTTGGTTTGGAATCAGGGTTTTCCAACTCCTCTAGGTGGACTCTCTGTGTCCACCAACCCGGTTAAAGCGCCAGACATTCGCTTTTCGTCCTCTCAATTTCGTAAACAACACCCACACCACGGGGTAATGAGTAGGACTTCCCTGGCAGAGGCTATATACGTGTGGCCATGTGAGAGCATTTCAAGAGGGAGAGCGGACTATCATCTCTTGTCCGCACCAGGGCATTTGGGGGCGGTTATATAGACTAAACTCTATCCGTGATGTAAAACATTTTCCTTAATAGATCTATTTCATTTCAAATACACTAATGACTTCTCGTATATCTTCTACTGTGTCAATAAACAGTAGATTGATGAATTCATTACTATTGTATGAATGCCTGAACATTTTTAAATATAATTCTTTCTAATTCACTTCTATTTTGATAAATAAATTCCTTGTCAATAATCAATTAAGAGACATAAGAGAGAGAGAACATTATGTTGTATTAATTTCACGACCCACACAATAAAAAAATAGTTACATTGTTTTCTCATCCATTTTTATCCGTTTCATGATTAAAAAGTATCATTCATTAAAAATAAACCGCATACAACATTGTACTACAGTTGATTATCATTGAAAATAATTGAACATTAACCATATGTTAATATTTATGTAAACACATAAACATCAGTACAAGGAGTCATCAAATATACGTCCGCCACACTTCATCATCCGATTTGTGTGTGAAGACAAAGATACTGTCTGGGTGTCCAAACTGAATCAGGTGGTTTTCGTAGGAGACCAACCACTCCTCGGATCATTCATCTAGAGGTCTAATTCATAAAGCAGTGGAGCAACGTTAGGAGGTCCAGTTCCATAGTAGTCGGTGACCAACAATAGGTTCACATGTCATTTGTTTCCTCAAGATCCTGGAATTCATGTGCACTATTGATTTGGAATCAGGATTTTCCAACTCGTCTAGGTGAATGCTCCATATCCACTAACCCAGTTTGGGCATCGGACATTCGCATTTCGTCCTCTCAATTTCGTGAACGAAAGCAGTGTCGCGAGAAGGCAGTGAATAGGACTTCTGTGGTAGTGGCTGTATAGACGTAGCCATATAAGAGCATTTCGAGCGAAAGAGTGGACTCACAAAGAAAACTAGAAATAGGTGGACTATGATACAGGCATAAGACGAAAAACTCTATTACTATTGGTTTGAGTTGTTTTGGTAGATGAAGACTATCTGATCAAGATTCATATACGATAATAATTATTGATTGTTAGTGATGTTGAGTGACATGGTTCAAAATCAGCCGGAGTGGTGAAGATGGACTTATTCATTTACTTTATGGTCCCAGATTTTGTGTTTCCAAAAACTATTTCATGCATTTTGTTCCATGGTTTCATTATTCCTCGAACCAAATAGAATTCCTACTAATATTATTATACTACGATTGGTACTACTCTTACTACTCCTGTCATCTTGATATTCATTTTTTACCCCATCTTACAGTGATATGATATGATAACTTGGTCTGATATGCATCTATACCAGGTTCTACGTTGCTTATAATTGACTAATAGACGGATCATGTAGTATCACAGACTGAGTGTAATGAGACTATAATATTCCAACTCAATGTTCTAAAGGCATAATGTTCTCAGCAAAGCATGAATGTTTTGGGTCTAACTTAATGAATGGATGTGTAGTATTGTGAAGTCCACAACTAGGGGAAAAAAGTCGACTTAGTTTTAGTAGTTCGTTACTGGTCACAACAATTCAAAGTAACGAAAAAACATCTCAATTACCGATTAGATGAAACTTAAGGACCAACAGTAAACAAAGAAATTCACGAAAGACGAAAATTATGGAGGAGGATAAATTATTCAGATAACATTAAACAAAAATCATCAGTTATGGAGTAAGTAACAGGACCATTAAAATTTAACGAAAGAGAAACCATTATAATATAGAGACGGTCATGATCGAATCCAAGAGATAGAATTTAATTGGTAAGTTTTATGTCACAGATTAATCTCAATTGGGATATCAATGAAAACCAGAGAACACTGAACAGATGTTTCATCTAAGAATAAGACTTCTTGGCATTATCCACATCGCCGATAGGAGTCAAACGTAAGATCTTCAGATGTTGCAAAGAACACTTAACCATTAAAACCACAGGGTCAGCGTCCATCACTTCAGGATATGTGACGATGTTTATTTATTAAGTTCCATTGATGACTACTGCTTCACTTATGACATGTCTGAACCCTACAAATCAAAACTTTATATACGTTTTGAAATCTTATATTCTCAGCATATTAAAAACATCAAATGATTACCGACAACATAATGTGACATGATTCCTGATTAGTACATTATCTACCTTTTCCTAATTATTTTCTGCACTTGTCAATATAAAATTATTTGACTAAAGAGGCGATTGCAAATACGCTATGTCGTTTGCTAATCGAATTATTTAACTGAGATTAATATACTGAATAGATGTTTGGGTTTTCATAGTCAAATACTCGTATCTTGTAATTAATAACCTGTTAGAGAAGATATACAATATGTTGCTAGGCAACTATAAATAATATATCAGTAACGATGACGATATCCAAAATATAGTTTAAGAAAGTATTTTCTTTTTAAAAAAATTCAAAATTTCGGCCAAATACCATTTAATCTTAAATTTACAGTTTTCAGAATTTTTCACCATTTCGGTGAACAATTAACTGTACAGTCAGATATGACAGATCAGTCAGGTGTGAGGATAACCATCCTGTCTCAGTATTTTATAAAGTTGTGATATCTAGCATTTTCAAGTATTCTTCTGTTCATTGGAAAGGCAAAAGTATAATTTACTGACGAATCACTCATATGTAAGATAACAACTATTGAAATTTTCTACTAAATTCAATATATGATGACGGAAAACTTGCAACTTATTAACAGCTAAGAAGGTGGAAGTAACTAAGTCGCTTAAAATTTCATAAACGTAACAAAAACTACATAATTAGAGACGAATTGGAGCAGTGATTGGAACCATCTCTTTTGACATTCAATAAAAGTGCGAAGTCCAATATTTTCTCTGTTCACCTTGTGGGTCATTGATACGTATAAGGACGTAATTTTCACTGGGGAATTGGAGTTAAACAGATTCCACAGATTACCGTATTTTACGAGGTATGTATGTCATGTAGTTATTTGTATTAAAAAAGAAAAGAAATAATTCAGTTGATTAAGGATAAAAACGAAGTGTGCTTTGTATACACATATATATCAGTCCAAGTTCTTCCAGATGGAAATCAGAGTAATCGTAGTAAAATCAGTATCTTCAGTACTATGTAAAAAAAGAGAATAGAGTGCAAAAGAACTCATAAGACTGAGAAATATGAAATCATTGTTGTTTTCTGAGGTCCGATTCGACTATAACACGTAGGCTGAGACATTAAGCAGGTAAATCACTGACTTTTTTCAATAGTTTTTCCCGTCTGTAATTTCACAACTAACGTTTGAACTCCGCGATACACAGCGCAACACAACAATCAATGACCTTAAGAACTTATTTCATGTCAATGATCGCAGGTTGTACCTCTGATACTACTCACCATTTCATAAAATGGGAAAAAGGTATTATAGACATTTTATCCAATGATTATTTAGTGAATACGCTGTACTATTATATGAAACTCGACATATCTGACTTCATCGGCATTACACATTCTCCGTAATAGTATCACATAATTACAAACTGACAGAAGAAAAAAACAGTACTCACTTTTCCAAACTGTTTATCATGTCCTGCAGACTGACCAGTAGCCACAGTAATACGATCAGGATGGATAGCAATGCTATATTCAAAGTAAAAATACAAGACGGAAATTGTATTCTACTCCTTTTCTGCTTACAACAAGTAACAATAAGTGAATAGAATGACTGTTCTGTTTATAGATTTTTCCCGCTTAAAACTATATTTTGGCAACAAGCCAAGTCATAAAAATTCAGTCAAAAAGAAATGGAAGCTAAAAACTAGCTTCAAAGAAAAAACTATCCAGAAAAGAGGGAAATCATTTTTTCTACAACTTTAAGCTAATCTATACATACTCAATCAATAAAACATACTAGTAATATGGAATTTCCTGCATGCAACAACACACAAGAAACTATGCTACATTATGTAAAAATAATTTATTATCAAAAAATAAAAAATAATGATGATAGTAATAAAATGCCATGGTACGGTAGGTGGTAGGGAGAGTCAGCTCTCTCGCTCGAAATGCTCTCACATGGCTGCGTCTATACACTGCCTTCTCGCGAGATTACTTTCGTTCACGAAATTGAGAGGACGAAATGCGAATGTCCGATGCCTTAACAGGGTTAGTGGATATGGAGCATTCACCTAGACGAGTTGGAAAATCCTGATTCCAAATCAATAGTGCACATGAATTCCAGGATCTTGAGGAAACAAATGACATGTGAACCTATTGTTGGTCACCGACTACTATGGAACTGGACCTCCTAACGTTGCTCCACTGCTTTATGAATTAGACCTCTAGATGAATGATCCGAGGAGTGGTTGGTCTCCTACGAAAACCACCTGATTCAGTTTGGACACCCGGACAGAATCTTTGTCTTCACACACAAATCGGATGATGAAGTGTGGCGGACGTATATTTGATGACTCCTTGTACTGATGTTTATGTGTTTAAATAATTAAATAATAATCGATTTTCTTAACCAAACAGGACGAAACAACAGATGATCAATGATGAGCCTATAATATATATAATGAACACATAATTAGTTATTCAAAAACGGAGTCATAGGGCAAATGTTTTCATACTCATTCGATCAATAGGATATTGTTTGTACAACTGTAAAGTATATCTTTTACAGCTTTTATACAATAAATTGTAACACAGTAGAATCATGGATAAATTGTTCAAAGTACTTGTATTATTCATGAATATTAATTTTTTTATTATCTTAACAAATTCTGAAAAGTAACCAGAGACCCTAAAGCGTCCTATAAGTCAATCCAGTAACTTATTGAGGAATAGATATTTCAGTGACTCAATTTCCCTCCTGATATCACCATTCAATGGGATCCATTTTCATTCAATGAAGTCACCTTGACAAGTTTAATCAATTTATAATATCAGTTTATTTGAGATAAAGTTGTTTGATTATCTGAAAATGTTTCATCCAAGTTAGTAATTTACAACAAGAAATATATGGAATCTTAAAAGAAATAATACTTTTTGTGAGTTTTGAATTCGTGTTACTTAGTCCCATAGTAAGACTAACAACTACTGAGCTAACTAATCCCATCTATCAGTAGACCTAAATCTACGGTTTCATTCTGATTGTTACCAGACATTTAACATCAAAAAATAGTATATGCATTATCGTAGTCAGATAACAGGGGGTGGAAAATTGGAGAACTGCGAAAGCCATCATCCAGCAGATATAGGTGTTTATTAATAGGTATCTACGCAAAATACTACGGATCCGTTGACCTGACACGATCAGCAACAACCTACTGTGGGAGGGAACAAACCAGATCCCAGCAGAGGAAGAAATCAGAAAGAAGCGATGGAAGTGGATAATACACGCATTAAGGGAATCACCTAACTCCGTCACAAGACAAGCCCTCACATGGAATCCTCAAGGTCAAAACAAGAGAGGAAGACCAAAGAACACATTACGCCGGAAAATGGACATAGACATGAGAAAAATGAACAAGAATTGGATGGAACTAGAAAAGAAGACACAGGACAGAGTGGGTTGGAGAATACTGGTCGGTGGCCTATGCTTCATTAGGAGTAACAGGCGTAAGTAAGTAAGTCAGATAACAGATTGGTTGTTGGAACTCGATTAGCACTAAGAACTAGATAAACATGGTATTCACCACTTTCTCAATGATCAATAAATACAAAGTCGAATATCCTAGGTACAACTATTTCGAATGACATTATTAAAAAAGATAATATAGTAGAACATGATTATGAAATTCCTTGTATATTTAGCGAAATAAACAAATATTTAAAATTTCACTGATTGAAATCATGAGTTAATTGAAGCTAGACCACCATGGAAAACCTGAAAGCACTGGATGGCCGTTTCGTCCTAGTATGGGACTCCTCATCATATGCTCACTAGTAACTGACTTCAAGAGATACTCTTGGAGTTCTAGTGGGAAACCGTTACCAGTGGAGTTCAACCAGGTCTGTTGTGAGATATCGACTCACTGAAGACAATGGTGTAAGGTGGAGCGACTTCATGGATTGGTTGAAGTTTGGCATTAACACCATTGGGTTATAGCTCAGAGGTCTAGTTGGTCAGGCGCTTGGCGCGAGGCTGGTAGGTCCTGGGCTCGGACCTCGCGGGGTGCGGGATCGTGGATGTGCACTGCTGAGGAGTCCCAAGATCGGACGAAACGGCCGTCCAGTGCTCCGAGGTTTTCCATGGTGTTCTAGCTTCAATTGACCCATGATTTCAATCAGTGAAATTTCTAAAATCTCCACAAAACACCTGAAAATATTTAAAATTTATGAGAAATCAAACAAACAAACAAAATTGGCAAAAATTCAAACTATTACTACTAAAAATCGATCAACTGAACATTGGAGTACAATAGACATTGATTATTTAACAAAATTCATGTAACTGATCTCATATTTATATGTATACACATACTTAATGTATACCGGTTAACTGACAGATTACACATATAGTTCCTTCATTATTAAGTATTTAAATTACAACCTATATTGTATTATAAACAATAAACAGGCAATATCTGTATAGTTCAATATTACATAAAAATGTATAAATTCTAAGACAGTTATCTGAAATATCTCTCTTACTGTAATAAAACAAACAAGGTTATATTTACGCATGTATTATCTATGTAAATGACAAGGTATATTAAAAGTAGAAATCAAATCATACTACTGAAATAAGAATATATAACAAGAAACGTGAACACATATATACATATAAACATGCACAAAATGAACAATACAAATATGTTCAGTAATCAAACGATTTTGTTATTCTACTAAAACCGAGGATAATCTTCATGACCGCCCTTATTTTTTGATAGAAGGTATTTATTTAAAATTTCACTTTTTCTTCATATAACCATCATATATTCCATACCCCTTTGTATTTGCTCCAAAATGAAAAACAGTTTAAGAGCAAAATATATGTAAATAAATTGATGAATAAAGAAGATATCAATGATAATCCATTGAACAACAATATGTTTACAAAGGTTTGTTAACTTTGTTGTTGTTTTTTTTGTGACATGAGTTGTGTATTGTTTAGTCTAAAGTTCACTATTGTTAACTTTTCAATGCTTATACTTAAACAAAAGAATATTTACATTGATGGATTAGTGAGAAGTAACTGATATGCTGTGTTGCCGAGTCAAATTCTATTTGTAATGTGATCATCTATCTAAATGTTTGAAGATTCCATATAATATATTTTGATAATTGGCAAGTGGAAATAATCAACAGGAAACCCTGTTCGACCTAGGTTTTGTGGTATTTTGCACTCGTCACCGATGGGTACTCAGAATCTTAAGAGGGCTGATGTTTGTTTCGATGGGTTCAATGAGTGACAAATACCATGAAACATATATTCAAAGTTTCCTGTCAATTAGCTCCGACCATAACATCAAAAAATTATTAATTCAAAAATAATGGTTCATTAACTTGAGATGGTTTGTAGTAATTTTCATTATAGTTTGTTCTCTAAGCTGGATGGTTTCAATTGTAAATCGTTCATTGCCATTCTACACGAACATTACCCAAATGTGCTTTCCGGAGTTGTCAAAATAACCTGTTCTAATGATCTTCAGATGTTCTATTTGTCTTTATGTATTTTTTTTGAACTTCCATGAATTATTTTTTTGTCAAAATGATCATGTGATAAACTGACCTTGTTCTCGTAAGTTGGAACTACATCAATATGTTTATTGATTACGTAACGACTTGAATGAGACCTTGTTAAGAACAATCTTTGATCTACAATTTAGATAATTTGCAGTCAAAGTCACCCTGATACTCTATGTTAGTATCACATGACTAGTACAATTTATTTTAAAAATACTGTTGGATAACACTATTCAGTGTTTCACTCTCGAGATTGAATACTATATAAAATGACATAATTGCACTAGCTGTTAAAATTTTCAACATCCAAGTAATCATATGCGACACAGTATTCACGAATGAGGTTTGTTAAGGATGATTTTAAGATAGTAGGTTGGTAAATATTGATGAATTTGCAAGGAAGACTATTCTTTCAGTTAATCTGTTGGGAGCTAGATCCCCAGAAATCAACTAGTAAACGTCTTATTTTCGTAATTTCATTTTAGAAATTTGAGCTCCTCATTTTTTGAGACAAAAGCGCCCGTTTTTACCTTCAGATTGAACTTCCCACTCGGAAGGATCCTAAATGTCATTCGTTCGGTTCCTCTTTGAATACGCTATTTTATGACGTTTCTTAGGGACCATTTTATACCATATATGTGCTCGGGTTGTATGCTTGGTTCGTTCGAGCTTCTGGATGCTTGTGCAATATATCTTTCCCTCATCTCAATCTGGTATTCTCCCTCTGCTTAGCAGGAATGAGGTGAATTGGAATAGCTTAGTTTGTCCTGTTGTTTTGTTACAGACCTTCGTTCCATTTGCCAGTTTAGGTGATAACGTAACCTCTTCAAACATAGTAAAACTGAAACTGATTAAGATTTATTTTTATTATGATAATTGGGGTGATGCATCAGATTATGTTTCGTTTTACACACAGATTATTTCATGTGATATTACTTTGCTACTGTTATAATGTAATTTCCGATCACAGTAGCCTAGCGATCTGTATACATGCGTTTTCAAAACTGTTAGTGAAAGAATTAAAAAACAGCGATTTCAATGGTGGTCTAACATCAATCGGTTCAAGATCTCAATCATTAGGTCTTAATTGGATCACTTCAACTTTCACCGGCTTTACAATAATAACTAAGATTACTTTATAAACAATCAGTTCAAAGACTGAAAAATACATAGTTTGAAGATTAGAAGATATTGTTTCAATAAAAAGATTGATTTCATTTCAGTTGAAGAAACAATGATAGGCTGCTCAGTTAAATACAAACTTACATAAGAGTGAATTTAAAAATTAGCAAAACAGAACAAAACTACTGGATCAGAAGATAACATTTCTAATTTCTAATCCCATATTACAATATCATATGTGAACTCGTAAATATGTACTGCTGAAGTTCCAAATGAGGATGAAACAATTTAACATTGGAATACTGACTTATTCAAAAAATTATCGTGGATAAGAAATATGAATAATCATTAAAAAAAACTGTATACATTTGGCAAAACTTATGAATGGAACTACATGACATAATCAGTATTATTATTATTAATATTATTATCATTAAGCATCAACAATACATTCCAACTTACAATATATTGTGATAAAAGCAATTGAAGATTATATATAAACATAATCCACACTTGTTCATGTGACTAATATATATGTTCTAGTGTATTGGTTTGTTTATCATGTGATTCATTAAAACAACAATACAGGTTTACAAGTGTCAATAATACATACATAATGATAAAAAGTTTTCACTAGTTCATTGTACTAGGCAATAATCAGGACAAGAGTATGGATTGCACTACCTCATTTCATGATAATGGATATTATTTTAATGTTTTTTTTTTACAGAAAATGTTGATGACCACAATAAATTAACATGAAGTTACGTAAGTGAACAATGTAGAGACTGGAACAGGTAGGTACATATTCAGTTGAAATGAAATATTTATGACATTTCAGTAAGTAATAATTTGAATTTCTGACGTTTTGTGACTTAGTGTAAGCGACTTCCTATTAATTTGGTTACTTATTTATTTATCAGAAAGGGTTTGTGATTTTAGAAATTTCACAGATTGAAATCATGAGTCAATTGAAGCTAAACCACCATGGAAAACCTCGAAGCACTGGATGGCCGTTTCGTTCTAGTATGGGACTCCTCAGCAGTGCACATCCACGATCCCGCACCCCACGAGATTCGAACCCAGGATCTATCAGTCTCGCACGTAAGCACCTAACCAACTAGACCACTGAGCCGGCCGGCATCTAACGCTGTTAATGTCCAAATTCAACCAATCCACGAAGTTGCGCCACCGTACACCATTGTCTTCAGTGAGCTGATATCTCACAACAGACCTGATTGAACTCCACTGGTAACGGTTTCCCACTAGAACTCCAAGAGTATCTCTTGAAGTCAGTCACTAGTGAGCAGATGATTATTATCAGAAGGGGTTTGTGGAGATTTTAGCTTCAAATGACTCATGATTTCAATCTGTGAAATTTTATTATGCCAAATTCTCAAGAAAATACATAACCAGACAAACTAACCCCAACCAACATCCAAACACAAACACACACACATACAAATAAGAAATCAATTATGAAAAGAGAAGAACGAACCACTCAAGTTTATTTATAATTTCTAAAAGTATTAAATTTAAAAGTAGAATCAAAGAAAAACATTATTTCATCTGTTTTCAGGAAAGAGAAAAAAGAAGAAAATCACCATGCATTTTATTGATCAGTTCCTTTTTATTTTATTGTTGATATAAAGAAGTTTTGAGATAGAGAATAAAATCGTTAGGCTGAGAATCCTTATTTTCTAAACCTCACTTTAGGTAAAACTGTTATCTTTACAATTAATTAATTAAATTGAATTGATTTAATTCAGTTGCTGAATGGTATATTGTTTGTATAAATAGCCTTGAATTACACTCTTTTATATGTGGGAGAGAGTATATGATACTCTACTTTGGTTGACTAGGCTGAAGTGAGATAATGTTTGAATTTGTATTTCAATGAATTAGAAGTTAATTGATTTAAACATTAAGTAGCAACTCGATCAGTTAGTATGATATGTGAAAATATCTTTGGTTTGGTTCCACATAACAAAATGAGTAAGCACCGTAAAGTAATTGGAAACTAAGATGAAACAGTTGAGCAACTGCTTTTAGTATTTACTGGTTCTAAAACTTATGTTGATGTCTATAGAAATCTTGATATGGATTGTGAAAGCTCAGTTAACCTTTACCAACTTGAGTCATTTGTGGTGTAGGTAAGATTTCCCTATCGAAACAGAAAGGGGTATACTAAGTAGAAATCTACTTTCTTCTACTTTGTGACCGTGAAAGACAGTCTTGGAATGTAGAAGACATGCGTAGGCTACATTCTTTTGATTATAGATGTCTTCTAAAAAATAGCTTGCGTTTCATAGAATTATCAAGGGACCAGTGATGTCAAAAACGTCAAACAAGTTCACGAGGTTGTAGATCTTTATTCACTGAGAAGGTTGACGCATATGTCATGAATACCTAAACGCCGATTCCCCCAATGTTTGATGTTAGGTGCTGTAAGTGTAAGCTGGTTGAAAGCTATGGGTAACCATACCAAAACATTCTATCAGTCCATGATGTTATCGACTATTCGTTTTAGTCATATTGGTAGGTGCAGACTTTTTGGTTGAGAAACGCATAACTGTGACCAGTACCTAAGATGTTGAGTGATATGGTTTAGGAAAGATCACAATGGTGAAGATAGCTTCTCTCTTTATCTTACTTGGGATTATGAGTTGCAAGACTCCTCCTTAATATATATCTTTTCACCCTAGCTTTTCGAACCATATTCTCAATCTTTAGTCTTCCTCATTATCCTTGAAGCTATATTATCTTAGCTTAACAGATATTTATCTCTATCCCGTTGATTTAATATGATATGGCAACCTATGGAGACGTACGTATGTGTCATGTTCTACATTAATTGTGACTGAATGATTGGCAGTTGATATTGGTTCGTGTCAGAGCTCACTATTAAATAACTTGACTACTGCTGTATGTAATATCCGAGCAAAGATTAAATGATGAGTAACTTCTGAGACATATTAATTGACTAATATTATCTATACATTCTTATGGTATAACTATTCAATAATTAGATTATGTATATTTATATTGTGTACAAATGTTATTTCCTATTTTATGGTGCGTTGCGGTCTGTTTGGTTGATATATAAAACCAGTATGTCTGAAATAAATGATTCGATTCGATTCGCATAGTGGAAGCTGGTATTGGTGTTCTGGACTCAAGTGGACGGGCTAGGCGGACATAGGACCAATAAGGACGCTAGGCTGCCCATACCGGTCGAACGTCATTGGTTTGGCACAGTGCTAAGATTGTATAAGTCGTATTTTGATTGGTGGATAAATCACGTGATAAAAAGCCGGACATAAAGTCACAACACTGTACTAAGGTATGATCTATGACTTTTGTATGAAATGCTCGATAAAACTACACTGATAACCAGAAATATACATATAGACCAGCCATGCATTTGATTTCTTAGTGAATAAATGACTAAATTTCTAGAAAATGTATAACTACAAAAAAAATCAGTGATGTGACCCGCATACTAATAGTAATCATATGATTGTCAGTGTCTAATTTCACGAGGTAATTTTCTAAGAGTTTTAGTACGAAATAGTGATCAGTCTAGTTCAACCATATTGGGTATGCGATAGTTACTGTACAATGGCATTGGAAGAAGGCTACAAAAAATGGTAAATTGATTTAATTTACACACATAAACCATTAGATTCCAACTTAAGGATCTAAAGGTTAAATGCTCACTGCAATACCTCAATATCCCAAGTACGATCCCTAAAAAAGGGGTTGTAGATGCCTATTTGACGAAAAACATAAAAGAGTATATAATTAACATGAACAAGAATTCGACAGTAAAACTGATTACTTGGAATAAATGAGTGATCAGGTAAAATAAAAATGAATAATTGTATTAAATAATAATTGGTATTTTCATAGTTGAATTCATGAGTTCATCTAAGCTAGACCACCATTGAAAACTTGGAATCCCTGGACGGCCGTTTCTTCCAGGTACAGGACTACTGAGAAATGCATTTGCACGACCCTATACTCGAGACTTCAACCCTGGACCTTAGGTCTAGCGTGTAAACGCTTGTAAATGCTTAGTTTACACTTTATATTAGTGTCAGTTGTTGCATAATAGTACATAGAAAAATATATCGATCATTACATAGACATTTTAAAATAACATTATAATATATAATGATTGTAAATGTACTTTTTTCACTGTGGGAATTATTGGGGAAATTGCTGAAATTTCATATTTTACATTACGAACTAATCTTAGTTAGATAACCATTGAAAACGAAGAATCACTTGGAGATTATTTCATCCTATTATGGAACTATTCAGCAATGTACATCCAAGATCGATCCACAGATTACAAACAGGAACTTTAAGTTTCGTGGAAAACATTTAGCATTTAGGCCATTGGATCGACATTGTAGATTTGGATTGTTGGGGAGTTTTATATCAAGAGAGAAGATTTTTTCAGTGCTTCTTAGTTTTCATTAGTTATCTAAGATAATTTCATGACGTGAAATATGAGATTAACTTTTTTCAAAGAAAAAAATAACACATACCATTTTACATCATCAGTATGTTCCAAATAATGTCTTTGACATTGCTCTTCAATATTATACAATACTACAACAGCTGCAACAAAATAAATTAACTCTCCAGTTGGAAGATAATGTAAATTATTTCGACAGTCTCGCCCACGATAACCATAACTAAACAGAGATTATGATGGTGATGACGTAACGAATTATTAGGATGATAATTAAGGAGAATATTTTAGTTCGAATGATATTACAGTGAAGAAATACTTTTTGAAAAAAGGAGTTAAACATCTTCACAAACCTCCTATTCTAGTAAATAGTGGTAATCATTTGTTCAATAGGGACTGATTTCGACGAAAATTCTCAAATTATAAGCGAGATATGACTAGTAGAGTTTCAGATGTCATAGAGGCAAAATCAATGGTAATGGATAATGGTTGTGCATTATCGTGAAAAGCGGACAACCCCATATGGTTTAAACATATCGTGCTCACTGGGAGAACTAAATATGTTGAGATAGATTCTTAGCGGAGACGTGATCATCCACTACTGGGGAGTCACTTATTAGGATGAAAAATATTTCTAGTGCTCCCTGGTTCCAAGTAATCTACTAGCTACAATCAGTCAACAATCTAAACGATTTTTTGCTGAATAAAATGATAAACAACATTTCAATTTATCATTAGAGTCCGACTTTTGAAGTATAGAGACTCTTCAATTAACTGAGTGTTCTGTATAAAACAAGAACTAAGGGCCTACAAACCAAGATGTGGCATCAATTTATGAAGCTATTGACTGTTGATTTGAGCTATTTTAATGGATGCAAACCACCTGATTGAGGTCCATGCAATTAATAAGCAAAAATTTAAGTAATTCAAGAAAATTTGTTAAAGAGTAATGATTTATGAAATTAAATACAAAATAAAAAAACAATCCACAAAAAGGATACATCCATTCCAATTTCAACGTCGTATCCGGTGCTTTCAATGGAATTGACAAATCATAATTATGCATAATTTGCGTAGGCATATAAACATTGACTGGACGTCCGCGAATATAAAATCGTAGAATTCCATCACCTGGTTAGCAAGATATTTTTTTAAATATACAAAGTAAAATAGAATGGAAAGAGAGAAAATAAAACAGGAAAATTGATAATTGAATCAGATTTTCAATATAGGAAAAATGGCCGTTGCTGAGGTGTCCCGTACCAGGACGAAACGATCGTCCATTGCTTCCAGGTTTTCAATGGTGGTTCAGCATAGATCGGTTCATCATTTCAATGAAACTAAAGAATCTCTATAGCCTCATGTTGATAGTCATCATGTGCTAGCTAGTGACTAGCTTCGAGAGGAAATTTCCGAATTTCTTATGAGAAGCCGTGACCAGTAAAGCTAATTTGTATAAGGTGAAGCAGTTACCCATGGGAGACAATGGAAGATGGTCGCTTAATTCCGTGGATTGATTGAGGCCAGATATCAACACCGTTGAACGCCGACTCAGTGGTCTAGAGGTTAAGTGTTCGAGAGCGACACTGAAGGTCCTAAGTTTGAATCCCGCCTGTGGGCTTGTGGATGTACAATGCTAAGATGTCCCATACTAAGGTGAAACGGACTTGTACTGCTTCCAGGTTTTCAAAGGTTGTACAACTAAGATTAACTCAATATTTCAATGAAATCGTATCACAAACTGATCACAGTTGTAGAGCTAGTAGGATTAACCAATGTGGACAGGAACAAATTTGTTCTTCTATCTCAAAACTGTCTTACAGTCCATGCGTATTCATGATATCTTGCATAATCGTATACAGAAAATCTATATCTGGCTGCTCCACTGCTAACGTGTTGAACTAAAACTTTAAAGAAATGGTGTACTCTGATTTTGATATCTTGAGTGGACTGGTGTCCCTGGTGAAAAATGCGGACTCACTTTACCCAATGTGATAGAAGAAAAACATAAACGTTGCCGTGACTGACCTCTTTTAGGACTAAGATATCACATTGGCTGACCACTGAACAGTAGACATTGTTATGTGTACCTAATCCTCAGAGGAGATCGAATTCCAATCAAATGATCAGTAGATTTAGAACAGCAATAAAGACTAGACAAGCATGATATAATGGTCAGTGATCAATTACCGTTGAAGATGAAAATTAAATTACAAATAATCGAGTGATTACATTTTTAAAAATGGCTTGCTAAGCTTACATCTGTATAGTTTATTTGGTAAAAAACTAGATTTGGCATTTATTTCCTGATCGTTTATTGTATTTTTAAGTTTACCACTTTTAACAACGTTAACTACACACCGCATTGGTTTTAGTGGTCCGACCTACTATTCTATTTATAAAGGTGTAGTAGACACACCTGAATCTATCTTTTCACGTAGAACCAATATCTCTCTTGATGGACAGTTGTTCTTTTATGTCTAGATTCGATATGGTAAGCGAGTGAGTTCAAGAGGATACAGTGTTTCTTTATCGTTCACAGTGCCCATCACAGAAGAATAATCATGATAGGCAATTTAATAGTATCAGAAAGATATATCAAAGTGACAAATTTATTCACATGTATAAATACAATGCGCAGTTAAACTATACATATGGAGGGATTCGAAACTGAGTGTAATAGTGGCTTGGTGAATAAAACAGTCGATGATCTAGGTCCGAATTCCGCCCAGTAAACATCGGTTTGGTTAGCCGAGTAATATTACTAGCCTTCCTCTGTACATAAACTAAAACACCATAGCATGAAGCCGGATAAATAATCTTTAGCAAATGAATTGGATTATTAAAAAAAATTGAAACAAACTAATTAAACTGAAAATATTATTGGTTACCTGGTAAATAAGTAGTTTCCTTGGAGCTAAAAGATTTATAGAAGAAAAAAAAGAGTAGGAAACAAAGTATCAATCATAGGTTTACCCAGATGAAAATAAACGACTGCAACTAAGTGATAAAAACTGAAAATAAAATGAAAATGTTACGTAACTATACACAACGTATCTCCCTTTCTATAAGTGCAATTATAAATAGTAACGACATATACAAAGCACCAGTGTAGTGTTAAACATTTAGTGTATTACAGTTTATGTATGGTGAATAAAAATTTTGATAGTTATTGAATGCTTAATACATTTTTTCGATGGAATTTATGAAATAAGTGAGATTGTTAGTCACAAAAACAATAATTATAACTAAAAGTATTAAATTAAAAATGCTTAAATCACACCAAAACATATTATAAGAATATGTGGTAGATCTTGACTTGCTCATCATCATGAAATTTGGGTATACATGATGGTTTATTCACTGATGGAATTATTTCTCGATTTGTAGAACATATTGCTACTCCACCAGGTTTCCAAGCAGTAGGATGAAGAGAACGGCCAGTTGATGCTAAATGTACAGAACGATCATCTGAATCATTAGCACAATAATATATTGAGGAAGATGGTCCAGAAGATGGACGACCACGACGAACAAGATTTGGCGGTATACATAAAGATGATGGTGGGAGAGCAGGTGGTGGTGGTGGTGGAGGTGGAGCAACTGTATGATTTTTCCGAAATGATGAAGACATAGATACAGAATGTTGTTGGTGTTGTTGACTTGTAGGACTTTGACAATGATTCATTCGATATATATCATCTAATTCACCATCATAAGCTGATCTCCAAAATACTGTATAACCAGACGGTCCATTAGAAGCTTCATAATATCGTGAAGATGTATTCGATTTTAAAGTGGATGATTTTTGTTGGTAAGTAATGGGTTCACTTTGTCGTGACATTATCATATCATTATATTCATACATAGATAAAGTTTTGTTGTCACCTTCATGTTTATTATTATTGAAATTATTAAATTGTCTATCTTCTGAACTAGCGCTAGTAATCCGATTACGTCTAACCAATAATTAATAATAAACACAAATATATATATACTACTAACACTACTACTACTAACTTAAACACTTGGTAGTTATGTCAATAAAAAAAGTCTCACAGGTATACTAACTATGAAGAAGTTTCAAATATAATAAATATTTAACTAACTTAATAAATTAAAATTTCTATCTATAGTATTATTAAAAAAGAAGAGTGTTTTAGAACTTGCAGTGAAATTTTCCTCGCAAAAGTACATCATTTCAGTAACTGTTCAATATTAAGGGACATTGAAATTACTGTTAGGGGCTCCGCTCATGAGGACTTATAAATAGTACTAAAATACATACCGATTTTGCGTAATCAGAACTAATATTGTGAAATTACATACATGATTACGTGTTACGTAGAGTGAAGCATAAACAATCAAATTGTATGATAGTAAACTACAACATTACTCTTCTAAATAAACCATATCAGCTAGTGGAAACTGAATTTTAATAGATAACCAAGGAACCACTGACTAAAGTAGTCTCAGTGTGGATATCAACACTGAGACTGTAGTCCATCCATCTGAACAGTCCTAAACAGGACAAAACACGCCTCCTTGATTTCATTACTAGCCACTATCCTATTTTATCCAAAGAATTGTGGCTTGATAACAATACCAGGACAATGCGCTCAAGATGCATGTATGCCAAGAGACTGATTGGTTGCCGTCCTTAAAATCAGAAACGGGAAAATGTAAACCCCTTACAGATAGTGAAAATTGAGTTTTAGCAATACAGTATACATATAGAGGTTCGTGGAAGTGTGCATGTGTTTTTATGTGAAACATATCAATCAAATATAGCGTTGATAATATTAACTGGCAGATTAAATTAGAGGGAGTGGCATGTTAGTTACTCCCCCAACGATTAAATGGACATAAAGAAGTGTCTAAAAGAGGCAAAGTGATCAGTTTTTAATATTGTTGCAATTAACATTATCATAAAAAGTTTTTGGCTTGAATTACAAACTGACTTTAAGCTAGACAATCGTTGAAAACTACAGTGCACTTAGACAGATATTTCATCCGAGTAGAAAATACCTAAAAGTCAGATTATGCCCCTCCAACAGTTGCTGAAGGCCCTGAGAGTCCTGTCCATGATGCAAACGTAGGTCTGCACTCCTGAAAGAGACTCCATACTGAGATAATAAATAATAGTCTGTATTTATAATTTCAGTCATTTCGCGATGTTGTACGACCACCATTCATTGTCATTGGTGATATGTCACATCCCCAACATGGTGGAACTCTACTGGTCACGGCTTCTCATTAGAAGTTTAGGAACTACGTTTTGAAACTACTTACCAGAAAGCACATAATGATTGTAGTTTTGGATGTTACTAAATTTAAATCTTCACATCACAGACTGAATTCGACACCTAGTGAGATGGTTATGCTAAAGGAATTCCATACTAGAATAGGGTTAGAGTTAAAGTTGTCCAACTGAAGCCGATTTATGAGTTGAAACTTAAAATCTAACCATTTTCAATACAGCCTATAATAACAAGATGCTTTTTTTTACTTATGAAATATAAACATAGATTCTTAGATAAACAAACGATGAATTTATATGAAATAAACCAATAATCAATCAATCTAAAATGAATTCCACTGTTTAATAATATAATAACCAAAGTAATAATCAAAATAAACACCTTGTTTGATTTGTTCCACCGCAAACACCAACCGCTTGATTATTTAAAGTAGTTGATGATGAACTTAATCGAACACTTTGAGGACTTTTTAAACGAGTTCTTGCTGTTGTACTCGTTGTTGTAGAATGTGGAACAACTAATGAACTGTCACGTGAATTTTTCGATTGATGTCCAGTAGAAGTAGGATTACGAGAACTTGTATGTCGTCTTGATGAATAGGATGAGTCAGTACGTGAATTAGTTTTAGTCACATTGGAGCCTATGAAAAAATAAATAAATAATAAATTATTATATAACAAGGGAAAATGAATGATTAAGCTAACGATTGTTATCTGAGTGAGAAAAGAAACGATATGATTACGTGAAAATTAAATAGAATAATAATGAAGTTACACAATACATTGGTGTAGTAGTTTACATGCATAACATTACACAATACGTAGATATATATATATATGTACACACATAGATATAATGACAACAAACACATTGGGTAGTAGTTTACATGCATAACATCATATACTTGAAGAAGTTTGTTAAAAAAATTATCCAATAACACAACTGATCGGATGAATAAATAAATGGATCAGACAAACAGACATTTTCATTAGATAAGTTAAATAATTTCACAGATTGAAATCATGAGTCAACTGAAGCTAGACCACTATGGAAAACCTGGAAGCACTGGACGGCCGTTTCGTCCTAGTATGGGACTCCTCAGCAGTGCGTATCCACGATCCCGCACTCCGCTCACTGAAGACAATGGTATACGGTGGCGCAACTTCGTGGATTGGTTGAAGTTAGACATTAACACCGTTGGATACCGGTTGTCTCAGTGGTTTAGTTGGTTAGGCGCCTGGCGCGAGACTGGTAGGTCCTGGGTTCGAACCTCGCGGGGTGCGGGATCGTGGATGTGCACTGCTGAAGAATCTCGTACCAGGACGAGACGGCCGTCCAGTGCTTTCAGGTTTTCCATGGTGTTCTAGCTTCAATTGACTCATGATTTAAATTTTCCGTTAAGACATTGCTCTGGTCGCGGATATACATTGATGATAAGTCGTATATTAGGGTAAAGCACCTGTACAGTGTGTTCCTAGTTTTAAAAACTGTCTCCAATCTGAAGGTGTTGGTCTAAAAAGTGAATATTTTCCACGAAAACTTCCTGTGATAATATTAACCAAAAATATATTCACGAAAAACTACACTAAGATGACTTTAGTGAGAGTATAATACATGGATGAACTAAGAAAATAACGGTGACAAGTTTTCATTTACTTCTTAGCCCATCTGTAGAAGTGTCGACAAATAAATTCTGAGCAAAAATCCAAGAGGCATAACATGATTAGTTTGTCCATAAAATATATTGCCAATTGGCTTAAGTTTATTTCAATATTAAGGGGTTATGATTCAAATATAGGAATAGTGTCTATTTCCCCGTTATATACAATCTACAGGGATACAATTAAGGATTCGATACGTTCATCATTATCCCTTTCACTCTATAGTGATGAAAAATATGAAAGCTAACGGATACTCATTTACCTAGTTATCAGGTACAGAATTATGCACATGGTTTTAAATGTGAGAGCTAGGGATACTAACTAGTTGCGTAGACAGAAGTATTTTGAACGAGGTTTGAGTCTGGGATTTATTGACTAAAAGTTGAACACTTTAGTCATTGATTCAAAAAGCTGAACCCAACTTAGGTGACGTACTCTTTGAATCACTCCAATTCTCAAGTGATTAAAGCATGGACGATTTATAACCACTAAACCGTTACTCCACTAGGCACATTTATCTAACCGAATAACCAACCATCGGAAACAGAAATAACTAGGTTATTAGGTAACATATATACCAGTGAATGGTCGCTGAATAGTGACCAATGTCATATTGTCATATTGATCAGATTCTATCGGTCTAGTTGCATTAATCTGAATGACTCAAGATTGCGTGCATTATGTTGAGGAGTTAGGTGGTTGGAAGTAATCGGCAGGGAGCCCTCGACCTAGGTTTAGTGTTAATTCAATGGAATACAATCACCACTGAAGGATTAGACAAATATGACATCAGTCATTACTAAATATTCAGTCAATTGTAAGTATTTCAGTCCTATAAAAAATTCAGTAGCAACCTGAACAACACAGACTGTGAAGCTGGGTGACATGAGTTGAGATTCATTGAGCAGTATTAGTTCCGTCGAGATTGTAGGTAAGTTTTGGTGATGATTACCAACTAACAAGGAAGCTAGGTTGAGCACATTATCCTGCCGACCGCCTACAACCATCCAGTAATTCTATATCAAACAGCCATTCTCAGTGCCTAAGCAGCCAACTGATCTCTGTTTAGGTGTTATCTTAAGTAATCAAAATAACAAAGTCTATTTCGTTACCTCGTGTACTAGATGTAATTGAACAAATCAACAAGAATATTCATAGTTTACACTATGAACTAATCTTAGTCAGACAGCTATTGAAAAACAGAAAGTACTGGAAAACTATTGCGTCCTAGTGTGGAACTCCTCATCAGTATACATTTAAGACCCTACTAAGGGAAGAATCAATGACCAATGGAGCTTAACCATGACGGGTATAAGGCAGTTATTACCCACCGATCCCACTGAAAGGTGGTTGTACAATACTGCGAACTAGTTGAAGGTACTGCGTCCGATCCCGTGAGAAAGTGTGTACGCTGCTGAAGAGCCCCATAACATGATGAGACAGTTATTGATCTTCACTAATTCCCTATGGTAATAATTCAAGAGTTATTAAAGTGTTAATTTATTTTACTGATCGCAACGATATGAATCAAAGGTATATATATATATATATATATATATATATATAACCCTTGAAATTTATAAAAACTTAATGTTGCAAATGCAAAGGAGAGAAAAATGGAGAAAATGAATAATCATGGTAACATTTCTTCTCGAACAACAACACCATTCTCAATACTGAGTTTTAACAGAAAGAAGTTAGAAAAACACCAACTACAATAAAAGTATATATAGATGAGGGCATGTACACAAAATTCTTAATAGCCATATATGTATATATATCATGCATAAGATTTTAATATGCAATGAAAAACTGAGCAATACGTAAGAAAGCCGACTGATACATACAATATATCCAGAGGGTTGAAAGAAACTATATAGACATTTGCACACATGCACACACACACACACGCACACACATAGAAACAAAGAGTATAATTATTATGTACACCCTTGAAAAATAATAATAATCATCATCATCAGATAAAAATGGAAAGTATTAAAACCAACAAAAAAAAGAAAACAAATTGAAATAATTTTGTTTTACTGAAAAAAGAACAATATAGAAAAGATAATAAAGAATAGATAAGACAGTATATACAATTCAATTGTATCAGAGTAATAAGGCTAAATAAATCTAAAAGCATCTATGATGATGATGATGATAATGTGCTTATTATTGATCCATTCCAATTAACTATATAAACCAAATCTAACACTCATCATAATATTAGTGTTGTATTGATTCCAGTTTTTTTTAATTTTATGTATTTGTAAAACTAAGCAAAATTTAAAAAAAAAACAAGAGGCGGTTCAAGATTGAATTCTCAAAATAAGACATGATCAAAATGTCGTTGAACTAGATATTAAAATAGAATTAAAAATTTAATGAATTCAATTATTCTAATGTAATGTAAGACGTGGAAGATCGATAACTTTGCATTAGATCGTTGTTGAATTTTTGAAGATTAGATTCGACAGTAATTCTCTTCTTTTTTTTCTTAAAAATTCGATTACATGTTCAAGTAGGTGTTATATTCGAATGGAGAACAAATGAATGATAACTGTTAGGAGTTATTTATGAACTGTTATTATATATATATACACTTATTGGATAACTATTAAGTAACTAGATTGTATGTATATTTATGTCCCTTTTATCATAAGCTTCCATTTGACCTATTGACCCCCAAATGCCCTGGTACAGCCGAGAGTGGGGAGAGTCCGCCCTTCCTCTCCAGAAGCTCTCACATGGCCACGCGTATATAGCCTCTGCCACGGAAGTCCTACCCACTGCCTCCTCGTGGCACCGGTATTGTTTACGAAAATGAGAGGACGAAAAGCGAATGTCCGGCGCTTTAACCGGATCCCAAAACAATGGTGCACATGGGCTCCAGTATCCTGAAGGAACAAATGCCGTAGGAACCAATCGTCCGTCACCGGCTACTATGGGACTGCATCTCTTTACGATGCCCCACTGACTTTTGGACCAGACCTTTATGTCGAAGGCTCCAGGTGTGACCCACTAAGAAAACCATCTGCTTCGGTTTGGGCACCCGGGTAGTATCACAGCCCTCACACATATCAAATGAGATTCGTGTGGCGCATATGTATTTGGTGCCTCCTTGTACCAATATCTATGTGTTAAAATAAATAAAAATAAATTTGATCTATTGGCTACTGTTATACTATTTACCATTCTTAATTTATTTCCAATTTATTAGTTACAATCTCAGACACTTTTGGCTTGATCATATATAATTATTATTCTTCATTTCATGGTGTGATGGGTTCTGGTCTGTTTGTATATAAACTACATATATCTGAAATATACGATTCATATAGCGGAGGCTGATATCTATGTTCTAGACTAAACGGGTTACGTTAAGCAAGAAATTACTAAACAGAGGACAAATAGAGGCTCACAGTTGAACCAAGGCTGTGTAGTGTTGCCTGACGTATCATCGGTTTAACACAGGAGTCGGCATTCTGATTGGCGATTTTGTCATGTGATATTTGACTGGTCATAGGATGTAACACTAGACAATAGACGAATATGCTGAATACATACCCACACATATAACCAGAAACATTTAAAACAATACAAAATGATTACTCAATCAATTAAATAATATTTCTTGACAAAAATCTAGGTTCGATGAAGAAATGTCTCACTACATGAAGGATATATGATAAATCCAACAACGCTAAGGTGAAATAATACTTTACTGATGACCTTCAGTAAAACTTAGGATAAGCTTGAGAATGTAAAGCCAATTTTTAGCCAGTCAGAATCAAGGTGATATAAATGAACAATGTATTATGAAAAAAAGACGATCTAAAGTCAACATCGTCGTTCCAAATATGCTCTTTAATGTTAAAACTGCTCTTTATATTCGGATAAATTATGCTTCTATCCGTGTAAGCTGATAAATTTGTTTTGATCCGTTACTTACACATTAAAGTCGATAAATGGAACT